TTTGCGGCGACTGAATTTTCAATTTCTACTAGAGAGTCAAAATTATGGAATAAAATATTAACTAATGAACTTAAAATAATTGCAACGCCTAATGAGTTTAAGAACAAATTGAAGCAAAAACTATTGATGAGCGACGTAGCGCTCAGCTCTTTCTGAAGTTTTAATGATTGCTACAGTTAAACTTACCCAACAATTAGAGGTTTGTCATTATCGGCTTGACGATCTTAGAAAAGGATCCTGCTACTTGTTATTGCTTAAATTCTTTTTTTTCTTTTTCTTTTTAATATAAAAAATCACCATTTATAAGAATTATTCACATATTTCAAAAAATATGCTGGTGTAAAAGGAATGCTTCAGGATTATGCGTATTTGTTGCATGCTTATAAGTAATATAGTTTATTTGTAGTTACTTTATTATTTTTTATTATTTGTTTTTAAATTTTTCTTAAACAATACAAAAAAAAAAGTTAAAGTAGGACTTTAGGACCGATGATTTTATGACTTTTGTTTTATAAAGTCTTTAGAAAAACGTTTTATATTAAATATTGTTAAGTTTTTTAATTTTTGTTGTTTTATACTTACGGTATAAATATAAGGGGATTGGTGATAAGAACAATTATGTCTTCTTCTTGCCCCTGTTATTTGTATTTATATTATGATTTACGACATGAATTAATTTATATGGCAAAAAAAAAAAAAGAAAAAAAAAATTATATGTACATTAACACAAAGTAATTAGCATAGAGATGTGATCAAATCTGTTTCACTATTTTCAGACTAGTCCGGAATCTTGAATTAAGTCATTGAAAAAATCCGACCCTAGAAACACAAACTTCCCCTACAAAACACTACCAACGTTTAATGATTAAGATCAAAAATGCAACCAAAATTACTGGTGAATAATGTACTAGCTGTTTAAGATTGCTTGAAATTCAATTAAATCCACTAAAAGTTTTGTGAGTATGCGTGTGTGTGTGCGTGTCAGCGTGTGTGTGTGCGTGTGTGTCTGCGTGTCTGCGTGTGTGTGTGTGTGTGTGTGTGTGTGTGTGTGTATGGTTGTTAAGGTGCTCCCAGAAATCCTTAAGGTCTTACCCAGTGAGCGCAATAACGTTTTGCAGACGTTTTATAATGATTCTGAAAAACGTTTATTTTTCTGTTATAAACGTTTAAAACGGTGACCGGTAGGTTTTCTAAAAACGTTTATTGACCGTTTGTTATTGGTTTTTATTAAGCCTAAATAAAACGTTTTATCGTTTTCAACATTGGTTCTAAAAACTTTTTTTATGTATAAGTTATTTAAATAAATAACTTATGTTATACTGCAAAAAACGTTCTAGCCTTGGTCCAATACTTTTTTTTTTTAATATAATAATGAGTTAAATAAAGCTTCGGATCTTATGAGCATTATGGTACCAATAATAACATAAACAAACTTTTTTTTAAATCTGTCATGGAAAACTCATATTTATATATTAACAAAAGTTGAATAATTTATTTATAAAAAAATGTTAGAATTCTATATATAGCTTGAATGTTATTTAAATTAAAATAATTTAAATCAACTATACTACACATTTATTCATAGCTATATAAACAATAAAAATATTGCCTGGGGATGTACAGATAAAAGTAAGTTACGACGTCTTTATCACCATCAGAAACATGCAATGAATTTAATATAATTTTTCAAATAGGATACCTTCATTTAAAGATGCTTTCAATATTTGTAAACTTTACATTTATACTACCTTATGAATAACCCATTATAAAATGTTTTTAAAAATCAATGTACCCTTGAGAGGTAGATTCAACATTTTGTGGTGTTTTGAGCTAATTTTTAGATATGGAGCAAATTCTAAACATTTAAAAGTTTATACTTATGTCAAATAAGGATACTTTTTAAAAATTGTGATGACTGGAGCCTGGGACAAAAAAAGTCTCAAAGCTTTTGTCCCCCTTCCCAAACGTGAGAGCAACAAGTAAACATTCTTAGGTAAATTTTTATTCATAAGTAAATTTTAATTTTCATAGTATAATATTTCAGCGTTCAAAAATTATAACATATAAAACTTGTAACCTCCTCAAATTGAGAGGGGAGGGGGGTCAAACTAACTATCATTTTCACGTATTGGAAAACTCGGTATTTTGAAGTTTAAGTCTTGCAAAATTTGATTCCGAATATTTAATATAGACAAAACTCACCAAAAAAATGTTTTTTTAAAAAAAACTCTAAAATGATTTTAAACTATTAAAACAACTTATGTTACGCCGACAAAAATTTTTGGAAGTTATCAAAGAGCTTTAAAAAACATTATTTTAAGAATTAAGTCTTTTTCAAAGAAACCTTTTTTTATACATAGAATTAATTGTTTATTTTTAAATACCTTTTCAGTAATTGCATTAATACTTTATTTAATTAAGAAAGTTAGTGCTAGCTAATTCACAACAGATAACTCAATCTCTACGACTATTTTTACTGTTTTATATTTATTTTAACCAGTTAATAATATTTTAATTTGTTTGTTTTACTTTTTAGGTTTTTTGTTTAGTGACTGAATTATTCAAAAATAAAAAATTCATGTTCATTTACGACTTTACTTGGTTTTGTTGCATTTGACTTGAGAACTGAATATTTAAATGTATGTGTATATATAATTTTATATATATATATATATATATATATATATATATATATATATATATATATATATATATATATATATATATATATATATATATATATATATATATATATATATATATATATATATATATATATATATATATATATATATATATATATATATATATATATATATATATGTATATATATATATATATACATATATACAGATATATGTTTGTGTGTGTATATGTGTATCTATTCATAAATATCTTTCTGAAATATCTTCAGAAGGAGAAACAGCCTGTTGAAGAAAAAAATATCTGTCTATCTATCTATATATATACATATATGCATATATATATATATATATATATATATATATATATATATATATATATATATATATATATATATATATATATATATATATATATATATATATGCAAATGTGTGTATCATTTTTTGTTTTTTTCAAGACAAATATTATATTCTATTTTTCCTGGTTAAAAAAAAAATGTTATATAACATTTCTTATGTTATTAAATTAAACATACAATAATTAAACACATAGATGCGCATAAACTACATTAATGCTTATGGTAAGCAACATTTCGAGTAAAATACCTATATAAGTCCTTAATTAATTTACTTCGATTTAAATCAAGTTTATTTAGTATTTTAATACTAAATGTTAAGGCTTCTTTGATTAAATCAACTGAACAGTAAACAGAGAGGTAAAAACAAGACCTTATAAAGCAGAAATTATGGTGTGAAGACTGTATGAACTGAAGCGTATTCGTGACATAACTTTCGTCTGTAAAACATTTAACATCAGCAGTGATCATCTTTTATTTTTGATGGACCTACAAAAGTATACAGCTTCAAAATTGGGAGTATAGCAAGGCAATTTAAAACTATTTGAAGTTACTTTTACGCAGACTTGTTAACAAGACCAAAAGTAGCTAGGCCAAAGCCACAGGTTAGAAGGCCAAGGCAAAGGCCGAGGCCAAAAGTTACAAGGCTCAGAGTTTTGAGGTCGAGACCAAGATCAAGAGTTTCAAGGCCAAGACATACGTAAAGATTTTTAAAACTTAAGACTTCAATCTTTGCAATACGTTAAGGTCAATTCTTCACAAAACTGTAAGTAGCAAGTGCTGATAAAATGAAACCACATTTTGTAAAAATAGACCAAGGTTATGTTCAGAATTCAACAAAATCAGTAAAAAATATGAATTTTTTTTCAAGGTCAAGCCCAAAATTTTTGAGACCAAGGCCAAGGCTAACAGTTTCAAAGCCAAGGCCTAAATTTTTGGCTTTAAGGCCAGGCCAAGCCAAGGCCAAGGACTAATAACTCTGTCTATGCGATTTTTTAAAGATTAATTAATAGATTATTTTAAATAAATTTTATTAGTAAATAGAAACCCCGATCTTGAATAGAACTTAAAATAATACCAAATCGTTTTTTTTATTAGTCACTAAGTTCATAATTAAATTTAAGTTATTTTCACTTTTTGTCAAGATTTATTTTCAATTGACTAAAAGTATTCAATTGAAAATAAATCTTAGTCAATTGAAAATTAATCTTTTATTGCTTTATCAATATACTATTGTATATTATTGCATATACTATTGTACAGTGGCCGTATTCTCATTTCTCCGTTAGGCTTAACGGAGCATTTGTCAAAAAGTTCTTTTTAACTACATTAATAAAAAAAGTTCTTTAAAAAAAATAATTTTTTCAATAAAACTATTTTATTTTAGTCTTAGTTTTATTTAAACAAATTTAAATAAAGTTTTTGACATTTCTTTACTTAGAAATATTGTAATAAAATTTTTAACAAACGCTTCGTTAAGCTTAACGGAGAGATGGAATACGGCTGCAGTACATTATTGTATTGCGGATAAGTCCTGTTTTTTTTTTAATTTTTTTTTATTTCAATTCACCTCACCAAGGCTATGAATTCACCTCCCTAAGGCCATTACCTACAGTCGAGAAGGTTACTTTAGTTGTGGTTACAACCTTCTCTCAACTCTATAACTCGTAAAACACAACCTTGTCGAACAAGGCCGCAGCGCGGACAAGCAAGTTGATCGCGGTAATACCAAGGACTTGTTGGGGATTGAACTATCAGGGACGTGGTGAGGATTGAACTCGGAACTTCTTACTGATAAGTGCTCTATCGTTACACCACTACGCCACTACACTACTATTGCATATTTCCTTATTTCCTATTCACACATACACCACACACATACACACGCCACACATACACACACCACCTACACACACACACACGCACACGCACACACATATGACTTAAGAGTTGATAAAAATACAACAGAAGCAATTTATTTATGATAATTTATGATAAATCTGTTTTATATTATAATAGATTTATATTTATAAAAAGTTTAATTTATAACAACTTGTTATATATGTTTTAAAAATTTGCTGATAGCACTAAAAATAGATTATATCATGGTTAGTTGTTTTAAGAATAAATTAAATTTATTTGCGAGGTCGGAGATGTTGGAGATGTAGAGACAACATAATTGATCGAAATCATGTATTTATATGAAAATTTAGCTTGGTAATTTTCATAATGGTCACGTATTGTATCATCCTATTTGCCGATACTTTTAGAAGATCTTTGTACAACGTCCAAATATGCTTAGGCGTTTTTCAGAAAAAATGCTATAAAAGTATAAAATAAAATTTAAATATAATATATTTTATTTAAATTTATTTAAATATAATGCAGATAATTTTATAAGTATATTGCAAGTGTCTAGCAATTAGATTAGGATAACTTTTTTACAAGTTTAAAAACATATGTTTTATGAGTAAATGTAAGTAGTTCCAATTTGTCGACTGTAGTTAGAAAATTCATTAATTGCAAGGGTGGGATTCACCCTCTCCTCATATCATTTATGTTTACATTTTTTAAACTTTATTTAATAATCTATTAGCATTCAAAATTATGTCTAATAAAAATATACAACCCCAATTATTTTGGGGAATTTTAAAACTTTGCAGGGTCTTACTTTTGAATAGTAAAAGATTACTGGATGATATTTAAAACCTGTCAATGAATTAAAATTTAGCTTAAGAACAAAATTGTATAAAATAATAAAGAAAACTCATTGCCCTCCCATTTGGTTGTGTATGTATGTATTTTTTGTAAATATGTGTATGTATGTATGTATGTATGTATGTATGTATGTATGTATGTATGTATGTATGTATGTATGTATGTATGTATGTATGTATAACACAATCGGCAAAATAAACAAAATAAATACTTTTCAATAAAAGTTGAATTTAACGGTTTGCAAATGAAGCCATTTATACATGGACACTGGTTTGTCATATGTTTAAGGTCACCATTTATAGTACACAAATCACCGTCTTTTTGCATTTCTTTGCAAACTGAATGTCCTGCTTGTTTAATGCAGCATAAACCGTATTCACAATCGCGATCTTTATTACAAATTGATTCAAATTTTGAAAGTTCTCTTTTTTTTTTACATTGGCTGTTGATACACTCGTATCCTCGACAACACATTTTGTTTCGATTACATTTTTCAGCTGTTTTGCGACAGTTAACGCAGTTTTTTTTATGTCTGCTACAAAACTGCATTTCAGAGCATTGTCTATCTTTATAGCAAGTCTAAAATAGAAAAAACACTATTATTTAAAACGTCATATATAAAACTGTAATTGAACGATCTAGTGTTTTCCAAATATTTTTATCATTATTTATTTTATTAATACCTGCTTTATTAAAGTATTATTTATTCTGTCGAAGTTATTTATAAATGATCCTTTTTGGCGTGTTTTAAAAATATATTCAATTTCTTTAGCATCCAAAGGAAATGTTCGAACGACGTCTAACCAGCTTTGGCAACCTTCTTTAACAACATAACATAAAAACACTATGCTTGCAATCTGGTATCTCTTAAAAGACGCAGCCATATTTTAACACAAATAAAAGTTTAATTGTTTAATGTATTAGCGCACGTTTACGTCTATGCTACACAATGCTACTCAATTCAAAAATCAAAATCATTACAAACCTCCGTTATTTTGTACTTATTTTTTTATTGATATTTATGTATTAAAGAAAAACTAAAAAATACGTCCGTTATAATAAAAGGGGAAGAAATATTTTAAAAAGAAGGGAGGTCCAACTACATCATAAACTAGTACCACTTTAAATCAGTCTATACAACTTTTAATCTTTTTGTTATGCTGAGATTTTACATCGATGTTATGTCTAAATTTCTTTATGAGTGTTGTGTCCAGGCTTATTTTAAAGGTTTCCCGGTCTTTATTCATTGGTAAATTGTTATCAGTAGGATACTTTTTTTATTTGAGAAGAACATACAGTAATGTGTCTAAGCAAAAGAATAAATTTTTGCTATGTTTAGAATTAAAAATACGTTATAAAATATAAAGCTTTCGCTGCGGGTGTTGTTAAACTCCACCAAATAGGCGTGATAACCATATTAAACATAGTTAGGTAGATTATCTTTTAAGAGTAGTATAACGACTTTTGATAATAATTGGTGTCGTTTTTTTTTGAAAAAAAGACTAGCAATATCAATGAAAACGTCAATCTATCAATTGTTTATATTCATTTGCGAATTTCCTATTTTTCTTCTAGTTTCCTTTACAAAAATATTTGTCTAATTAATATAAAGTTTTATTTTTAAAAGTATATAGATTTTAAAAGTATATAGAGTTAAAAAAAAAAGAGCGGCTGATTTTTTAGCTAGAAACGTTTTTTAAAAAGTTATTTTATTAATAAAACAATACAGTGATCAATATACTATATCAACTACTAATTGAAATTAAAAAAAAAAAAAAAAAAAAGCAAGACGTTCGGATTGTTTGCACTTGGCGAAAGGTATAAACAATCGGAGAACAAAATACAATAAAAAATAAACGCAAGCACTGGTTCTTTTTAAAAATAATTTTTTTTTTTTTTTGATGTTTATGTCCACGAAAAAACAATTTGAATTATAATTTTTAATTATTTAAAATTTTTACTTAAAAGGTGTTTAAAACTTTCATTTTCATAGTTTTAACGGACGTTAAAATTTTAGTTTGAGAGACCATTAAATATATATATTTTTTGAATTCTAGATTTAAATTTGGTAACCGTAAAAGAATTTCATGTATCAATTTTAGCAGGTTCAAAATAATTGATGCAGTTTTTATCAAAGCAAACATAAAAAAAACTAATTTACTATTGTATACTTTATACATATATATATATACATATATATATACATATATATATACATATATATATATATATATATATATATATATATATATATATATATATATATATATATATATATATATATATATATATATATATATATATATATATATATATGTATATACATATATATATATATATATATATATATATATATATATATATATATATATATATATATATATATATATATATATATATATATATATATAATCTATACTATATAATATATACTAATAATATATACTAATCGAATATATATATATATATATATATATATATATATATATATATATATATATATATATATATATAATATATATATATATATATATATTCGATTAGTTTACTACATTTAGCATCAAAGAAGTTTTTGATTATAATTTGTATGATTATAAATTCTATTGTACCAGTATTTCATCATAGATACCATTCCATATCGCATTCTTCAAACTAAAATAAATCGTTAAAAAAGTAAGTAAATATCATAACAAGTTAAAATAAACAGGCAAAAGTATTTATCAAATTATATAAGGCCAAACAAACCAAAATCAATATACAAAATTTTTTGTTAAGTTATATAGTTAACTAAACCAAAATCTGTATGCAAAAATGTTTATCAAGTTATATAAAGTTAAGGAAATCAAAATATGCAGAAATTTTTATAAATATGTTTTTATTACCACGTTGCTATTACCATGAGCATTAAACATACTTTAGTTAATAATTGTGAGAACTATTATTAACAAAGGTTTAAACTATACTGAAGTTCAATTATGCAAATTTTTTCTTAAAGAAAAAGAAAAAGTTCGACAATTCCTTACTAATGACTTACTAATGACTTACTAATGACTTACTAATGACTTACTAATGACTTACTAATGACTTACTAATGACTTATAACCAAATTAGAACTTACTTTTGAACTTGGAGGAATTGTTCTAAATGTTGTTGGTACAATCTTTTAGATGTTGTCTGAATGTTGTTGGTACAATCTTTTAGAAGATAAATAAACGATAAGGGTTATAAATAAATTATAAAGATAAGTAAATGATAAGGTTTTGATTAGGGTCCCAAAACTACTTTACCTTGAAGTTGTAAATTAATTATGTAACTTAAGACGTTGTGACGTACATTATGATAAATCATTGAACGAATTTTATTATATAAAACTAACAATCAAAAATCAAGAAGTTCTGTTACATTAACTAACTAGGTTTCAACAAATAAAAGTTGTTTAAAAATTGTATCTTATCATTACGTCATCATTTTTACACCTTTTCATTGCGATTTTTTGTAAAACATATGAATAGCTTGAGATACAAAAACTTTTAGTAATTATTTTAGGAAGCTTCGTTTTATTTGTTTATTAGTAATAACAAGTTTTATGTTCTATTGTTAAGAGTTTATACAAGTGTGCATGTATAAATTTATAAATATATATGAGTATGATGTTTCATATTTTAAGAAATGTGTATTTTTACATATAGGTGTGTATGATGTTTCTTATTTCATTTACAATAAATCAATATTAAAACAATTTTAATTGTGACCCGATATTATTTTTTTCTGTTTAAAATTTTCGGATTTTGTAACTAGAAGTCTTTGTTAAAACTTATTTTTCTAAATCTGTATAGGTTTTTTACAACCAAAAAAAGTCCTTGGGACGAGTGTGGTATATATTGTGTTTTGTTTTTGTATAAATTTAACATTGATTGAGACAGAGTCTGAATATTTTATGTATATTGCTAATAATATAAAGTCTAGTTTTTTAAGTAATTAACGTCGTTTTTAAAAATGTCATTAATTAGAGGAATTGCTTTGTTAATTTGAATGAAGAAATATAATACTATTACATCAAAAAAGACTTGAACTTTGCTATGATCGATATTGATTTTGTTTTGTTAACCAATCAGAATTTAATAATCACAAATCTTGTTTTTGATTAAGTTGGCTGTGTAATTTTTTGTAAATATAAATTATTTATATTTGCTTCAATAACATTAGTTATTAATTATTCTTTATTAAGAGTTTTACTTCACCAGGTTTGTTTTTACATAACTCTAAGAGCGCGTTTCGCATGATAAATATTTTTTACTTTTTAAATACCCTTAAAGTAATAGTTGTATATAGTTTAACGTAAGCATAGTAAATGACTTGAATTAAAAAAGGATAATAATCTGATCTAATTGAGTGCATTTCAATTTTATGCTTACTTTTTATTCATTGTTTTTTGGTAATTGAGTTTATTCTTGTGATGTTTTTAATATTAATTGATTTATTTTTAAGCTTACTCAGAATTCCATTTAGAACTTTAAACATGTCATTTTTTTAATTCTATATATGACTGTTTTATTTGACAAAAAAAAAATAGCGTCACTAACCTTAATTAAGTTTATTAGTTTTAATGCGCTATCCTAGTCATTCATATAGCTTGAAATCAGGAGCGGATCGTGATCTATGGCGTCATAGACCTCCTTTCTTTTTTATCTTTAATTATTTGGTCTTTAATTATTTGATCTTTGATCAGTAATGCAGTTTTAAATCAGATAAAAAAGTAATTTTGTTAACTACACATAATCCGTATTTCTTTCTTTATGTTTATTTACTGTTATTGATATGGTAAGCTCCAATTTTATTTCAATATCTTCTTGAGTTTTAACAAAGTTTTTTGTCATTTCACAATTAAAAGTAAGCATAAAGCTTCAGTAACTGGTTTTACATGGCACCTTTTTAAAAAAGGTTGCAATTAATTGGTGGTATTAAATTATTTTATTTACTGTTTATTGTTAAATTTATGATTTATGAATGAGATAAATTTTATAATGGAGTTTAATAATTTTTGTATCGTTTATTTAGTGTATATAAAAGTTCAACAAAAAGAAAAAAAATGAGCAACAAAAGAATAAAGTCTGCAACAACAAAATTTTCTTGAAAAAAACAAAGAAAGTGAAACTGTTTTTTACCACAAAAAATTCTTGTAAGGCATCAAATACTAACCAAGTTTCCAGTGAAAAAAAAACTCTTGTTCAAAAACTAATACTTCCAATAAGTTTCACACCTCGCAATTTATTTCTTAAATTAAGAAATATACTTCTAGTTTGTAAATTTCTCACTCCGCAATTTATTTCTTAAAACAAGAAATATATTTCTTGTTTGTAAATTTGCCACCCCGCAATTTATTTCTTAAAACAAGAAATATATTTCTTGTTTGTAAATTTGCCACCCCGCAATTTATTTCTCAAAACAAGAAATATATTTCTTGTTTGTAATTTCCCACCCCGTAATTTATTTCTCAAAACAAGAAATTTATTTCTTGAGTTAAGAAATAAATTTCTTGAACAATGGGTTTACGAATTCGCTGTGAAACTTACAACGAAAAAATATATTTGTTGTTTTAAGAAACAAACTTTTTACCCCGCAATTAAAAGGAGAAATATATTTCGTTTTTTAAGAAATATATTTCTTATTTCTTAAGAGTTTGCAAGGTTTTGTTCCAACCATAATAGAAAATAAATATATTAACATTGAAATCAAGTCAAATAATATTGAAATGTAGTCATTTAATATTAAAATCAAGTCAAGGTAAATTACGGTTGTAAAAGGTGGATGAATATAAAAAAATACATTATTGAATGAACAGCGGAAGATAAACTACAGTTGTCTAATAAACCACGGACGTTCTTAGGTTTTTTAGAATTTTCAAGTGCTGTGTTTTGCTAATCTATTTTAAATTGAAACTTAGTGCATGTGTAGCCAATATTTGTTGCTTTAGATGGAAACTCAACCTCTTTTTCTGATATTGTAAAACTACAACTTTATGTTTAACAACTTTATGTTATTTATAGGCGTTTAGGTAGCCCATTAGAATTAAAATATACAGCATTTATGTTTTGAAGAAGCTTATAGATTTCTGTTTTATTTTATAGACTAACTGTTTGGTAACTAAAATATGGTTTGGTAACTAGTATGACTTGGTAACTAGTATGGTTTGGTAACTAGTATGGTTAAAAAATTATTTTTAAAAATTGCCTAACCAGGTAAAAAATAAATAAAAAAAGATGAAACGAGTCGAAATAAAATAGGGGGATCTTTCAACACTAGGAAAAGCGATAACAATGTTATGACTTTTCCTAGTGTTGAAAGATTCCCTTGTTTTATTTTGATTTCTACTTTATTTCTAATTTATTTCTACTAAAATATTTGCTAGCTGTTATTAACAGTTAGCAAATGTTTCAGTAGAAATATAGAAACGACTACTGTTTACAGTAATGGTTAGTGTTTTAATTGTTTAATATTTTTTAACATTTTCGAATTGTTACAATAAAAATAACGAAAGAAAGGAAGTAAGAGGCTGTCCATTAATTACGTCAACAAATATTTTGAAATTTTTACCTTCCCCTCCCCCTTGTCAACAATTTGTCAAATTTCCAGAGACCCCCTTATAAAATTACGTCAACTTTTTATTACCCCCCCCCCTCCCTATACAAAGAAACTACGCTACAAACTCAGCCTATTTTTCCGTTATTTAAGCAATCAAACTCAAAAAAAAAATTGTTGATGTCAACTTTAATTGACTCCCCTCCTCCCCGTGTCAATAATTGTCAAAAAAGTTCAGACCCTCGCCCTCCCCCTATTTTGTTGACGTAATTAATTGACAACCCCTAATGACTTTATAATTATAAACTTATAAAGATAAAAAAAGTAATTTATAATATTATTTTACCTATATTTTAATATACAATAAATTTGTTTTTAATAATTTAAAACCTGTTGAAAAAATTATGGAAAAACATTTTGTTAATATTCAAAAAGGCATTTTTTTTAAAAAAATAAAATTCTTTAATAAAATCAGAAGACTTTCTTGACGAGGAATTTTCCCGTTGAAGGCAGTGAACTTTGAGTACTGAATAAAAAAATCGAATTCAGAGTGTATTTGACACCCGTGTTTTAAAAATCATTTAGAGATACTTTTCTTGATACTTTTAGTAATTTATTTCATCTTTTGATACTTTTAGTAACTTATTTCATTCAAATCATTTATTTAGTAATGAATTTACTTCAAAGAAAAGGTAAAAACATTAAAATTATTTATAGATCTTACGTGAAGTAGGTTGAATTTAGAACTCGGGAGTTGAGGATTAATTTGCAATAAAAAATAGGACTTAGACAACATAGTTTATTTTGTATATCAAAGAGCAGTTTACTTTCTCCAAAAGCTTTTTCAGGTTAGTTTTCTGATTTTAACAATACAAAAAAAAGTGTGAAACTAAGTTTTAATACATGAATTGACTAATAAAGTACAAAAATTTAATTAATGAAGTTTAACTTTTAATCAATAGATTTTTAATCGTGTTATTATAGAATTTCATTTTGTTTAGATAAAGGTTTTTATAATATCAAAAAACATAAATAAAATATTCCCAAGAAAGAAAAAATGCGGAATTAACGATGATATAATTACAGATGTCATGCTAATTATCTATTTATATCTTTTTTAGTATTGTTGAGTATTTTTCCTTTCGCTTATATTATTTTCATTTTAGGGCAAGCATAATCTTGCTGAAATCCGGCTGACATCTGGTTGAAAGCCTTAACAAACCAGATATGGAAGCACTTTGAGCTCGTTTTGGGCTAGAGGTTCTTTTTATAAATAAACAAAATATTTTGTGCAGATTGACAGCTACTCATATTAAGAAAGATTTAGCAGCTCTTATTTCTATTCATTAAATACTAAACTTTAATTATCATAAATGTTGTGATATTTCTTTTAAACATTTTTAATGCATTTTTTTTTAAAATAGAAAAGCACCGATTGAAATTTGTTATGGAATTAATTTTCAGGTTTTTAAAGGTACTGACGACGACGACGACGACGAGCTGCACATTTTAGGAAACAAGAAGAATTTGAATAAAATTAAATTGTATTATTAATGCTGTGTTATTAACTTACTGCATTAACTTATAAACATATATATATATATATATATATATATATATATATATATATATATATATATATATATATATATATATATATATATATATATATATATATATATATATATATATATAAGTGTTTTAATTTATGTGTTTTAATTTATGTATTTTAAATTTATGTGTTTTAATTTATGTGTTTTAATTGAAATTTTTTTGTTCCGAATTCTTATAGGACCGTATAGGACTTTTTGACTCGGAAAATGAGTCACTTAAACACTAATTTATCTAATACATCCTAAATAATGACCTTTGAAAACAGAACTAGATATTTTTGAAATTTTCTAACCTCTATCGCAAAACTGCAGTGGTCAATACAGATATTTTTTGACAATTCAAACCCTGTCTCATTTTGTTCCAATATAAAGAGCAAAACAAGACAGATATATTATGTTTTAAAAACAACTTAAAGATAAACAAAACAGAATTTTAAGGGGATCAGCTAGTAAAACAATTTTATCGTAAAGTAGGGGGAGAATGGGCAGAAGTAGGACGCGAGAGGAAAGAGACATATCAAAACTCCCTAATCAGTATTATTTTATTTAAAAAGTGAGATTACTCCACCTCTAATTAAAAGATTTAGCTTGGTCTTCCTGCGTGTGGTAAAAACCACATTTTTGAAAAGTAGCCCTAAAAAACGCTTTTAAGTAGGACAATGAAAATTAATTTATCTCATTTCACTAATAAAATGATATTGTGTATTAATGTAATGATAGTGTGTAAACCTTTTGAATATTTTGGTGAAGATTACGTTGTTAAAATCTTTAATAGTTTTTAACTAATAATTTTTGTTAATTTGTAATTTATTCCTTGCTTGTCCCCGTTTCCCTTTACCTCTCCCACTTTACGCTAATAGCACATCTCCTCTGAAGTAAAAAGTATATACTTTATTATAACCTGCTGTCAATCTTTAAGAATGGCATCAATGCCCAAAATGATGTTTTATTTGTTAAAACTTGCTTGGTACAGTTTATTATATAAAAAAAGAAATATTTTAAAAATATATTACCGATACTTTACAACTCGTATTATACAATCAAGCACAGTGTCACCAGTCACATGTATCACATATTAGTTTACCAACATTTTAAAACGAACAGCAGTCTGTTCAAGTTCAATTTAAACATTGACTCCCCTTCTCTGCTTTTGCAGCCTTACTTAATAATCCATTAAAAACATAATGTTTCAAGACCTTACCAAATAAATTTCTTACCTATTTTTTATCCTTTCCTTATGCTCTTTTATTTTTTATATTTTGAATTTTTAACTTTAGTTTATACCTCCAAATTAATCATTAGTTATTTTTACCAGGGATGTAAGCGACCATAATCCACGTTCTTTATTATAAAGTTTTTAGAGGCTTAAAAATGCTGCGGTCAAGTGACGCCTATGGAAAGTATGAGGCGGTAAGGCTATTAATTAAAAAACAAACAAATAATAATGTTCTTTGATTGAGTTTTGTATCTAAAAAACTCAAAATAAACTTAATTTAATTAGAAACCAACAACGTTTTACATAACTCTTAATTCCTTTTTGGCCACACCTTACAGAGGAAGCACAATCGCTTTTTTATTTGTTATAACTTTAACTCTATGTCCCGTCGTAATGTTTAATTCATCAAAATTTTGATAAGGTTTAAATTTGTATTTATCTACAACAGTATCTATATTATCAAAATATATGTTCGCTGAACTGCAATAAACATGATTTAAAGATAAGTTTAGGCTTATTTAGTAAAAGGTATGGATGTATCTTTAAGAATCCACTTACAAAACCTTTTTCTGCAAAATTTATAAAATGGATGAACCATTTTATATTTTTCTATATAGTGGAAAAAAATTTGTTGAAAATCACTTATAGAGAAACCGTAAACGGTTTCTCTATAAGTGATTTTCAACAAACTTTTTGTATTATAATACACTGAATCCATTTTTTTTACGTAGCTTTATAATCTATTTTCCGAATCATCTGGCTTTTTTAAATCTTTCAACTAAATTTTTATCTTTATTACATGAGTCTAAATTCTTAAATTTTTTTTTTAATTTTTCAGTGTAAAGGAATTTTATTTACGTTAAACGTCAAAGTTACTTTTCATATATAATTTTCTGTGTGTATATATAAAAACGTTATTTTATACTTTATGGAGTCATTTGCCAATAAGGGATTGTCCATAAATTACGTAACGCAAATTTTCACAATAAACAAAACAAAAAAGATCAAAAGTTTTCCATCGCAGAGTCTCAATTTAGAATAAAAATTAAAATCGCTGATTAAGTTTAATGGAAAATCACCGCTTAGAAACTCCAACTTTTGTTTATTTATTTTTTATTTTGCGTTGCGTAATTTATGGACGATCTCTAGCATGGTTTAAGGCCGTTTTCCACAAGACGAAAAATTCGCGCGAAGCGAATTTTTTCGTCGTTAAGCATGCGCAGATTAAACATTTTTGGCGATAATACTGATTTTTTTTTGCTACAGCGTTTCGCTGCAGCGAAAAAAAAGTCGGATTCATTTCGACTTTTTGTGAATCGCCATAAGTAAAAACCAATGAAGTTTTGAATATTTATCACGTGATGTCAACATTGAAAAAAAGCGAAAACATGTTTTTAAAGTAACAAAATTGTTAACCTGGCGTTCTTATTAATTTTATATAAACTTACTCTAAAAATTGGTAAGCATGAGTAAATTTATCAAAAAAGGGGCAAGACTTACATAAAAAAATGACCAGATTTATATATAAAACAAAATCGAGAATTTACTAATATAAATTTTCACACTGTTAATTACGAAAGTTACACTTCATAAGAATGTTTATCTTTAATTGGCCACACAAAGATAAACCTTTTTGTGAAAAATTCTATATAGAGTTAAACCTGTTGTTCGTTTTTGCAGTAACAGTTTTTAATAGAAATGTTCATATCAGAGTTTAGCATTTATTTCCTTATACTTTCTTGTAAAAAAAACCTTATATTAAATGATTATATTACAAAATAATATCACATCTTACATAAAAAGGCAGAAATGTTAATATTAATGCACGGAAAGAAATTTTCACATGCTTCAAAATAGAAAGTATGCTAAAAAAGTAATAACTGCCTTTACTTAAACCTACAGCGTAAACTTATTGCTGCCATTTTTATTGTTGACAACGAAAAAAAAGTAGCGCGAAAGAAAGTAAGTGGAAATTAAAACAGCGTTTTCGTCACAGCGAAAAAATTCGCTTCGCGCGAATATTTCGTCTTGTGTCTTTCCACAAGACGAAATATTCGCGCGAAGCGAATTTTTACTCAGAAAAATTGCATTAGAAACGCAAATTGCGTTTCATACTTCACTTTTTTTTAAATAAATAAAATACGGCATTTATATTGTATCAACTGAGAGAATTTGTGAAACCATACGTGCACATTTTGTAGATTCATATTTGTATTATAATATATCTAGTATATTTTGTTTTTATTTTACTAAAATAACCTAAAATTTGATATTAAACTTTAGAAGAAATATATAAAACATTTTACACACAGTAAAAAATATAACGCTAATATAACTTTTCACTTACCTTTACGTAATGTTAACGGTTACATAACGGCGAGTGAAATATTTAGCGTTATTTTTATTGATATGTTAAGAAAAATTAAGTCTTGGCGTTATTTTCCCCAAAATTATTTGTATATTTGTTTATATATGAAAGGCGTTATATTTACCGTTATGTTTACCGTTATGTTAGTTAAATTACGTATTAATATGACATCATAGAAGTATTTGTAAAAAAAGCGAGATTTTTTGCCAATTGTTTATATATTTAATATTGTTTAGATATTTTTATATGTTAAAGATACTTTTCTATAAGCAATAAGAGCTCTCAAACAACTTTTATATAAACATTGTTTATTAGTGCATGTATTTCTAATATAACTAATATAATGTTGTCATCTTATCATTTATCTTTATTAATTTTGTATGTGCATATATATATATATATATATATATATATATATATATATATATATATATATATATATATATATATATATATATATATATATATATATATATATATATATATATATATATATATATATATATATATATATATATGTGCAGGCACAAACACAACATACTACTTTCTTGAAGTCAATCAATTTGCAAATCTACCTTATTACACTGTTTACAACAAGAACCAATGTAATAAATAAACCTTTTAGATAAAGTACATGTTAGGTAAATAAAATAAGCCTATTTAAACTCTAAATAGAACGAATTAATATGTTGGATGTTTAAACATAGCAAATATTACGTATTTGCATTATGTAAACACGTAGTATTTGCGATGTCGTTGCCTTAGTTTAATGTATTAAATAATTAAACAATATTTATAAAGTAAATAATTAAACAAACGATCTCAATATAACAAATAAAAGATATTTTAGATATACGCCGTTTGTTCCTCTTTACTAACATTCCAAATCAAGATTCATTAAGAACGAAAATCAAGTCTCATTGATTTCGTTCTTGTAGAAAACAAGTCATATGCATATTACATTTATTATACCCAGCGGACACAACTCAGAAAAAAGTTACGCATGGTTTCTACTTTGTGACCATAAAAACTTAATAAAGTTGAAATCCGTTGACTATGGGAAGCCAATCTGTGTATGTTGATATTTTATCACATTCTTTTAATAAAAGATAATTTTTAAACAATTTTGATCTCTGTTAAGTTTTGTTATCTAAAAAAGTAACCAATTTGTTATGCGAAAAAATTCAATTGATGGTCTACAATTTTTGGTCCAAACGGAAAAACATATCGCTGAAGAATGCTGTGATAACAAATCTTAACAAAATCTCCTTCAATTTTGACTAAATCATCTACTTTGTGACCAGCAAAGAAACCTTAAACTTTCACAAAACCACCTCCGTCACAATCCATAATTTCGGAGACGGTGTAAGAGAGACGACACCGAAGTTAGCTTTAGGCAAACAAAATTCAATTCCTCATGGATATCTGTACAAGTTTTTTTTTAAAGCTTGTATATATATATATATATATATATATATATATATATATATATATATATATATATATATATATATATATATATATATATATATATATATATATATATATATATATATAATATGTAAATTAATTTTAATAAAAAGGCAGCATATAACTATTTTTAAATATATGTAAAAATATATTAACGATATTTCGCTGACCTATTGTGGTCAGCGTCATCAGGTAATAATAAAACGAATTATCGTTAATATATTTTTACATCAAAATATATTTAAAAATAGTTATATGCTGCCTTTTTATTAAAATCAATTTACTTATTATATATATATATATATATATATATATATATATATATATATATATATATATATATATATATATATATATATATATATATATATATTAAAGTAACATATATATATATATATATATATATATATATATATATATATATATATATATATATATATATATAATTAAAGTTCTGGAGTTATTTTATTATATTTATTCTTAAATAATTCCTAATCATATTTCAGGAACGGTTTTATAATTATTTGGTGAAAAGTTGACAATTTTTTTATAATTTTGTTAACATTTTTACACAGTTTTGCATAACAACAGTATTGATTGCTATTTTATTACAGTTTAACATTTAAAAAGTAATACTTCAGGGGCGAATCCAGGATTTTTCGGTATTTGAGTTATACAACTTCCAGGAAAGTTCTAAATTCCAAAATTTTGTATTTTCATACTTTAGTCATTTAAGGATGATTTGCCAAAAGTTGTGCTGCTCAGAACCTGGGAACAAAAAAACCCTAAAAATTAGGCATCACCTGCCCAAATGTGGGGGTATCGGTCATTCTAAATATAAACTCTAATAGCCTAAATTAGGTGGTAATGTCGTTAAGGTTCTAAAATATTTTTGAAAAATATTATGTTGTTTAGAAATTATACCCAGTTTAAATTTACAACCCCCTTGTTTTGAGGGGACTATAAACTTTAAACGACTATAGCTTTTGAACGCAAGATGATTTTTCGATCAAACTTTAAATATAGATACGCATTTGAATTTTATTAAAGGAAGAAACATTTTTAATTTCGAAAAATCATTCCACTCTCATTTAGGCGGGCGATGCCTACTATTTAGGGTATTTTTGTTCCCAGGCTCTAATCAACGTAAGTTTTGCCAAAGCATTCTTAAACGACATAAGTTTGAATATAAAAAAGTTTGGAGTTTAGAGCTTACCTGAAATTTATTTAATTCAAACACCAAAAAATCCTGGATCCGCCCCTGTACTTAACCACAGTTATGAATGCATCTCCTACAAAAGCTTTAGCTATTTTACTGAATCGTGAGTTAACTAAGCAACACTACTAAAAACTAAGAAATGAAGCATGACTGTTTGGTTCTAGAAAAAAACTGTTTGCCACCAGAAATTGAAACGTTCAGACTATTCAGCTAAAGTAAATTTTCAAGCACTTTTAGATCAAATAGCCTCTCGTTTGTGCCAGTTGCAAAAAGAGGTCATTAATTCATTTGATCTACCATCTCTTAAACAACTTACAATGCGACACAAAATTGGATTTTAAGGTAGTATTGGGAACTCCATATAAAAGCAGATTAAAATTGATGGTGAAAGGCACCTTAAAAATGAACAAAGTCTATATCTTACATGCCTTGTTTCACTTGAACTATTTTGTTTTATTGATGGCTGAAATTCAAATCTTGAGCTAACTTAATGGAGTAATATAAGTATATTGGATATCATTGAAATAACCATAGTTGATAGTAAAGTGGCGACAGCCTTATCAGTCAAGACCAATGCATCATAGTCCTTCTCAGTATGTGGCAGCACACCAAAAGGATTAAGAAAATTGAAATAATTGTAGCAAAAAATGAAAATGCAAACTATTCTGGTCTACAGTATGACTTGTCATCATTACATGCATGGATTAGAACAAATGTATGTTTTCATCACCTTGCTTACAAATTGGATAACCGAAAATTGGCTGGCGCGTAGCACAAAAAAAAATTACCTGTGGCAACAAATAAAAAAAATCTAAAATGCCTTTGATTAATTTTTGATGTGCTTAGATCTGGTAGTTCAGCGACATTAAATGATTAAAATACAGCTCATTGTTTCTTCCAATCTGAAAGTTTTGTTAAAACTGGATGTACTACTGCTGAAAAAGTTCCAGGACTACTTTGAGGTAATTTTATTTATTTTTAAATATTGTTACTATGCTGAGCTGTGGCTAACTTAGCTTTTGTAATTACATGATTAATTACCTCTTTTAAGTTACGTATTTGTTTGTAAAGAGCTACCCATGGTATTACATGCCATCAAGTTTACACAAGATATTACTTAACGGACATGAGGTTGTAAGGAAAATGGTCTTGCCAATTGGCATGCTCTCTGAAGAGGCACATGAAGCACGAAACAAGAATTTTAAACGTTTCCGTAAAAAACACACACGTAAATGCAGTCGTTCAAACACAAACTATAATGTATTATACGAAACTATAATGTATTTTACTTTTGTATATACAAACTATAATATATTATACTTTTGTGCTCATCAGACCCAATAATAAACAACATAAGGCGGTCAAATTCTCTAAATTTAAAATCTCAACTTTCAGGAGTTTCTGATTTGTTTCAGGCTCTGTCGACTTATAATTTTTTGCTTTATTCATGTATGTATGTTTTATAAACTGGTAGTGTATTTCAAATTAATAATGTTTTATTGCACAATTTTTTGTTTTTATTGTTAATGACTTATTTTTTTTTTACCTAAAATTAATTACTTATATATTTAATATTAAATAGCTATTTAAAATAAAACGGTTAAAAATCCGATAAAAGTTTATTCAGAAATTTATTTATCTGTGCGTAACTGAGGAAAGTATCTGGTTGTAAATACAATATAGCTACCCATAGCAACTAAATAAAAAAAATTATGACTTTTATATATCGTATCGGTTATCGTGCCAAATAAAGTAAATATAGCACTCCTAAAAAATCTGCAACTATCAAAATAGATTGTTGCTATGCAAATCAGGTATCCATAAAACAAGGTGTCTATAGTAATCAAATGAAAAATATCTAACTCATAAGAAGAGCAAACCTCATATTAATGCACAAACTAAATATAGTGTATATAGCACACATACAACATCTACAACTACCAAAAATAGGTTGTTGCTAAGTAAAATTAGGTATCCAAAGCAACCAAATATTAAAATATCAATTTCATAGGAAGCGCAGACCTCATACTAGTACTCGTGTCAAATTCAAGTAATAAAGACCTAATGTTTAGTTAGTTATTAATGTTTTTATTAAGCTGCATTCGACATGGAAAATCATGTAATTGTTAGTGATGTTTTTAAAAACTAAATTGGTTAAATAAATATGGTTTTGAATGACTTTCGGTGATATATTCTTTATACATACATATAGGTGTTTATACATACATATAGTGTTATAGTTATATATATATATATATATATATATATATATATATATATATATATATATATATATATATATATATATATATATATATATATATATATATATATATATATATATACATATAGGTCTTATAGTTTATACATACATATTTTTCAAATGCCAAAAATTTACCTTTAGGTGGTCTCTAAAAGCAATCATAAAAATGTTTTTGGTTTTTTGAATATTTATATCAATAATTTGTAATTCACGACATTTCCACATTTCGGTTTTTTGATTAGATCTAAATAAATCTTGCGTGACTTTATTAATCTTTTGGTCAGGTTGTTGCGTGACTTTATAAACCTTATGCTCGGTTTTGGGATATTTTGTATCAATATAAACACAATTCATTTTGCCCAAATAAAACGGAGTATTTTTATTTAAATGAACTATATTTTATTATATTTCAATTTGAAATTCTGTGCATATTTTTTTGTATAAAGAAATGCCACATGACTATGGAGTCTGAGTTGGTTTTGATATATATGAACAACTCCGAAAACTTGTGACTAATAGCTTTTTTTTTTTTTTTAAATGTAAAGTTTTAAAATTTGATTTTAAAATGATTGATTCCAGAACTTTTAATTCAAAAATTAGTTTTTAATTTCGGATTTCTAAATGATAAAATTTCGATTATAAATCTTCTATGAGATTTCAAAAAGTTTTTGATTGTAAGTTTTCCAAGAGCATTTTTTTTTTCAATTTTAAAATCTTAAAATTAGACTAATGCCTTTGGATTATAATTACGACGAAACATGTTTTTAAATTTCTGAATGCGTTTTCTTCACGCAAACAAAAAAAATTATTTTAGATTTTAGATTGAAAATCTTAATTCGTTTCAAAAAATAAAATTATTTGTAATATTAATTGTTTTGCAAAAAGATGGTGTGGCAAATTTCCTTTTTTTGATCAATTTATTGATCGATTTTACTTGTTTAAATATCTATACATATACTATAGTTATTATAAACAAGATAAAAAGGTAAGGCCTTCTTTTTTTTAAGTTTATTCCATTTAGGTTGTTTTTTTTGTTATAAATATTAACATATCAACATAAAAAGTTAAAAAAAAAATCAATAAATAATACATTTTAATGTTTATCATCGTTAAACAAGTTAATCAAAAGATATTTTTTTTTTATCTTTTATTGTTTTTGCGTTGTATGGTTCTACACCATTTAATTGCGTAAATTTTTTAAACATGCAATTTTACTGCAGAAGACCTGCACCAATAAGTGACACGTTTGTTATTGCTGTCCAATGTATTAACGTCTAAATCAAACGTCAGATCATTTTAACCCCGTTAATTCATCAACTAAATTACGGTTTAGTGTTTGTTTATTTTTTTACACATTTACTATTTGATTCTGTGTTTGATTGTTTCTTCGAGGAATTTCATGCTAATGTTTTTATTATTAAAATAATTTGCTTTATTCATTTGTCTTGAATACTTGTAAAAATTTGCATATCTAGCAAAGCCAGTTCACAAGACGGAGATAATGGAAGAAATGGGAGTAATTGAAACAAAGGAAGGTTCTTCCAAATGTTTTATTTATAATAATCACCAATCGTTATCAAATGATTCTCGATCATAGAAGGGCGAAACATACTTATCTCGTTTTGGTCTAAGTATAATGTTTTTTTTAAACATGTGGGTATTGTAACTGTTGCTAAAAGAGTTTTCTTTATTATCTTCATACGGCATATCCCATCGAGGAATAGCATGACGTACGTAAGCCCCTCCTTCTGCAACTCCCATTGCACCTAATGCAGCATTAAGGTAAGAATCATCTCTGTTAGTATGCGTACGAGTATTACCGGTTAATTCTTCATTTTGTTCATAACCATGTAATCCCATTTGATCGTACCCAACCTCTTGACCAAAACCTTCTTTCATGCCTTGTTCAGGTATACTTGTAACTCCAGCTCCACCACCATTAACTAGTTCAGAGTTATCAATATCATTCATGCTTGGGCGTCTACCATACTCTGTACCTATTGTAGAATCTCCATCGTTAGGAATGCCTTGGTCAGATCCTCCAGGATTTGAATAAGGATCAGGTCCTGGTGATATATCAGCTCCTCCAAAATCGTTCATATCCTGAGCATCATTTTTTGATGGATCTTTAAGAAGGTCCATTGAACCAAATTTATTTATTGCCCCATCTTTATCTGTAAGTGCTTTTGAAAAACTTTCATCAGTTGACGCTAACTTTTCCATTACTTCCTTATCAAGACCTACAGCAGCTGCAGCTTGTTCCATTCTAGATTCTGAAATAGGTTGTGGTTGATCTAACGCACTTTCTTTATCAGAAAATAATTTAGGAAGCGGATCTTGTGTCAATGAATCTTCTTTTAAAGGTGCAATATCGGGATTAACTGGTTTATCAATTAGTGGAGACTCTTGTGGATCTTTTGTCAAACTTGCATCATCACCATATGGATTACTCATATCTTGAGGCAATGTTAAGGGCTGTTCTGGTGCAACATCACCACCTAAAATAATAAAAATATTTAGCTTCCGAACTGTAAGTAAAAACCCAAATTTTTAACTATATATTGAAAATATAAATATTTATTTGTAAACTTATAGTGTCAAAACTTTTTTAAATGCTCAACATTTTTTTTATTTTTTGATAATTGTTTAATTTAAAAATGATTTTAAATTGTTAAAATTAAATTATAATAATAAATGTGAAATATTTGAAAAATTATGTTAAAATCTATTAGTTTTAAGCATTTCAATTTAACTCAAAAGCTTTTATTTTTGTTCAAAATCTTTTTTTTATATTTCATTTTTTGTTTTAGGTGGCTTAAGAAAATTGAACGGTCACAGAGAACCGCAGAAGACCATTTAAATTTTTGTAGCATCATCATTGGCTATTTTAGTACTGCTCCTTATTGGCTTTAGAACAGGTGCTTAGATATAATATCTTTTACCAACTTTTTTAAATTAAGATTTAATTAGTTATAATTTTTTGTAAATTAAGCATATAAATAAAAACTAAAAGTATTGAAAAACAAATATAAAATCAATTTACCCCCCGCGTTTAGTTTATCAGTAAGACTATCTAGTAATCCTCCTACGTCATGCTGACCACTAAGAGGTTTATAGTTTTTCATAGTTTCCATCTTCATTGGAGCTAGGTCAGAAGAAGGATCGTCAGTTTTCAGTACTGGGATCTTTGGGCGATCAGGTCCAGCCGCAATTTCTGCATAAGGATCCGGAGCTTCCTTTGGTTGTTGTGGGGTTACGGTAGTTACATTTGTTTTTTCAACGGTTACGTTTTTAATTTTTTCAGATGATGTAATATTTGCAGTTTTTGTGTTTGCTGTTTTTACATTATCAGTAGCAACTTTTACATTATCTTTACTCGATGAGTATTTAGTAGACGACAAAACTCTATCAATTAAATTATCAACCTTTTTGTCTTTGGAAACAGATTTTTTTTCAGCTGTTTTATGCAAGTTAGGTTCTGAAGCTTCAGCAAAATTTATTTTAAGTTTATTTTTTTCTTCCACAGCTTTTGAAGAATCAGCAGTCGAAACCAAACGGTCTGTTTTTTTGTTTGCTGTTATAAGACTGACGTCATCTATTAATTTAGACAAACTCCAAAGCGGGGAGTTTTTCAGAGTTTTTAGGTTTGGTTTTCTAGTTGAAGTTCTTTTATCGTTTGGATCATTATTGTTGAAAACAGGATTCAATGAATCCAATTGTTTTTTGTTGTTATTCACGTCTGCAGTTTCTACGCTGTTAATCATATGATCTAAGTGCATGTCATTTCCAGTTAAACTTGGCGATACTACATCAGAAGAGCTGCGATGAGGAGCAACAGCTTTATTGTTATCGCCGCCCGTAATTAGAGTTTCTTTATTAGACTCGGTTAATGAAATCTTATTAAGCAAAGAATCGTTTTCCGGTATATGTTTATTGTCTTTTAAGAAAGCACTTACCGAAATTAATCTTCTTGTCAATAGTCTTTTTGTATCTGTATTATTTGACTTTATCTCATTAGATAGGATATCAGAAGTTGGTAATATACCCGCTCTTTTTGAAGTAAATGAAGACAACGCATTTTTGCTTTTTTCATTAATCTCGTTAAGTATCAATTCTGACATGCGTTTGTTAGAAGATACTGCACCTACAGATGATTCTAAAATAAAACGCTCGTCTTTTCCTTGATTTTCACAATCATCATCAACAGAGCGTCTTATTCCTTTAAACACTTCGTCAAGATCTGTTATGACATGATACTTAGATCTTTTTTGCAAAGATTTCTGAAAATGAAGGGCCGTTTTTCCACAACCTAAATAATTTTTTCCTTTTATTATAAAATGAACTCCGTTCTATTTAAGTTAATATTTAAGATATTACCTAACTAATTACAAAAATGGTACCTTTTCTGAGCAGTGAAACCTCCTGTGGAACTAAAATAGAAATAATAAAAGTAATCTTACAAAAAATTATACAAAATATGCAAAATTATCCACTAAAACGAAAACTTCTTTTTATGGCACAGAAATGTTTAGAAAGTATTACTAAAGATCAGAGAAATTAATATAAGAGATCAGAGAAGTTTTTGCAAGAGCTTAATTTTCAAAATACTCTCGTCACAAAATGTACTTTTAAGAAAATCCTTTAAGATTAGGCTGTCGGTATTTTAATTTATCATATTTAAAAATGTTACATTTTAACAAACCAAGATGTTATAAATAATATTAACAATAAATCAAAAGTGTGTTTAAAACATTAAAAAATCTGGGCTGTATCAAATTGAAATATGTGTAGACTTATGGTGCGTAGTCAGAATATAATCGTGCTTTTCACGTTTGGTTTTTGTAAAAATCGAATTTCACTATTGTAGCTCTAAATACGAATTTGAATATTCGAATAGTTTTAATAAGTATTTTGGTACAATGAAGTTATTAAAAAAGCGTCTTATTTGATATCTGGATAATTAGAACAAAGGGTTTTAAAAATATTTGGGAGCATTCTGTTTTTTAACTTCAAAGCTAAGAAAAAATTTTTATAAAAATTCATCTTATAGAAAATACTTAAAATATAATGATTTTGAAACATCGATTTAGCTCAAAGACAATGTTAAACTATAATAATATGGTTTCAAACATTAAGTTCATAAGCAATATTAAAAAAACATTCAATTGTTTTTATGTGGTTATTTTAAATCTAATCGAAACTAAAGAATCTAATCGAAACTAAAGAATCGAAACTATAGAATCAACTAATCGAAATTAAAGAATGTTTAATTTATATTTCTTTAATTTATTTTTACTTTTAATTATTCTTTTCTATCTAAAAAAAATCTAAAAGCTTCACAGGGTGGCCACTGATCATGAAAACTATAAAAATCATAAAAATTGAATTTTATTTTTTATTGAGTCATGGCAAATTCATGGAACTTTTTAAAATGATCCTTATTAATTTCTACTTATGATATTTTTAAGATGCAAATAAAAGTACTAGTGTGCCTAGTCCAAGTTCCTTTTTGAAAAATATATTTTTGCAGTGGAAGTTCAGTGAAGTAAAAGAAAAAGAGTTTTTTCTTGGCATTTCAGAACTTTCTACCATTTAGTTTTTGATTTGCATGTTTTATAATGACAAAGTTGCAAATGCCTGGTGCATGGCAAATAATGAATATTTTACTCACTAGTGATTTATCATAAAAGTTTATGAAGAGTTCTGGAAACATCATGGAAAAGTCATAGAATTTCATTTTCAAAATTGAGTGGCCACCCTGTTTTAGAGACAGATATTCTGCTTGAGATTGCAAACAAATTTTGTCGTAAAATCATTTCATAAGTTTGTTAAGTTGTTGTTTAACCTTTAAAAAAGTTACTGCTTGAGTGAGTGTATCATCTAAAAAATGTATAAAATTAAGTTATTTCAAATGAAGTAAATGTAAATAACATAAAAAAGAGCTAGAAAAGGTCTTAGAAGAGATCGCAATAGAAAGTAATTATTTCCAAAAATACTATTGAACAATAGTGTTTGTTTTTAATTGTTAAGATAAATTAAGTACTTTTATTCCTAAGCAAGTCAAGGCAAGTCAGTACAAAAGCTTTTGAATTTCTTACAGACTTTTCTGACCAATAAGATAAAAAAAATTTTTTAGTTTAAATTTTTAATAACTTTATAACTTACGTGATATTATAAAAAGAATGATGACGAACCGTTGACTGAACGTCATTAGCTCAACAATTTGTGCAAACCATTAACAGAAACACTAAAATTTAAAAAAAAGTTTATATAAATGTGAAAAAACACGATTAATAAAAAAAATTATGGTTAAATAAAAATACAATCAAAGAACTTTTAACGGGTGATTTAAACTCAAGATGGCTTTAACACTATAACAAAATGAAATTAGTTTTATAAATGCAAACTGCTATACACAACATATACAATAATTTTTTAAGCCTTTGATAAAAAGTTTTGAAAACCATCATGGGATCAGGTCCTTCAAAAAATTGTACTTACACTTATGCTAATGGTACATAGTCCAATCGCACAAGTAACTATAAAGTTACAAAAAGAAGTTGTACAAATACGAAAAAAAAGTAAGTACATACATTTTAAATATGTAAAAAGTGTTTACATTTTCCCATCCATTGCGAAAATTGAATTATGAAATCCACTAATAGAAAACACTTTATACAATGTATATACGTCCTCAATTGGCTGCCATACCTAATAAAAGATATTAGTAAGTTGGAATCTGTGCAACAAAGAATTACCATACTATATCATCTTTAATGCTCCACCCATATACCAAGTGCTGCGAACTCTAGGTTTTTATAACCTTAAAGAGAAACGGAGGTATAGTGATGCGGATGACTTTTTTGTACCAAAGACAACTTTAGTATATACTTCACGTATTCTTAAACTCAGAGGATACCTTTGTCAATAAAAAAACTTGACTTATTAAAGACTATTCTAAACAAAATGGTTTCTTTATAAGTTGTGTCATTAATCACCTTCCCAGTTTGAATTCGACTTATTTACATTCAGGCTTATTTACATTCAAGGAAAAAAAATGTTTTAGCATAAAAGGCTTGACGTTAAATTATTAAATAATGTTATTTTTGCATTTCCAGAAAATTTAACATTTTCGGTTCAGAAATAAAAATGTTTAACTTAACTTTTTGTAGAAATTTTAGGAACTAATATTTAACACAAGTTTTTAAAGAAAATCAATGGCCAATTGGCCAATAATCTTAAAAACTTAAACTTCTGCTGGTAACAAATGCAGCATTTATTACTCAGGCCAACAAAATTTTACTTTTTATTTATTTTTTTGCATTTTAGTATTCCTCATTCTGATTTCAAGTATGCAATTCTTTTTCTTCTATTACGTCAAGTTTTGAAGATATTAGGGTTCAAACCCGAAATATTAGGCGTAAAATCCAGGGTTAGAATTAAAAAAACCGCCCAATAAAACCCAATGAAAACCGAGCAATCTGGGTTTTATTGTTTTTTTTTTTTTAATATTTTATATTTTTATGAACTATTATAACCAACATTACCATTATAACTATTATACCTTTAACTAAATTAATTATTAACTATTATTATTAACTAAATTACTATTAACTATTATTATAAGCTACTATAACCAACAATAACAGCTATTAGAGCAGATTTACTAATATTTGAATCATTATTTGGAAATACATTATCACAAATTTTATCCAAATATTTTTACAGATTGAAATTGTCACTTTTTTATCTTTTAGGTTATTCACCTCCAAGGCTGAGAAGCCACTACAGTCGAGGAGGCTACCTTATTGTGGTAACAACCGTCTCTCAATTCTTTAACTCCAAAACACGAACCTTTATGAACAAAGCCACTGCGCGGAGAAACAAGTTTGTTTAAGTTCAAATTTAAAGTCAATTGAAACTTCATATACTTCCTCCATTCTCCAGCCTTTTTTCCCCCCTTTCTCATTGACATTTTTAACTATAAAAAATATTGCTTTTAAGTTTTTTTAAGTTTTTAAGTTTAACGTTTTTTTCGATTACACTTTTAAATTATGTTTAAAAATCTTTTTCAAAATAATTTAAAAAATTCTTGTTATAATTTATTAAATAACATTATACAAAATATATTTTTCGTAAAGTTGAAGTAGAAAATTATACTAATTTTTAATATCAATAAATATGCTTATATGCTTGCTAATTAGTCGGAAACATAAAAATATACCGATAAATTTCCATAATTATTTTATCCAAATAAAATTTTTAAATATGGCAAAAAACATTTTTTTATTTTATCTTTCAAACATCGTTGCAGTACCCGTCCTCACTATTGTCAGCCCTGTACCCGGGCTGACAATAGGACAGAGGTAAACTATCTTTTCAATATTTACCACTAAGTTTTTCATCACTGAGTTTTAAAAAAAAAGGTCCGTGACAAATGTTGAGAAGAAAAATTTATTTTTGTTTAACAATCAAAATTACCGTAAACCTTTGGCCATTTTTAAAAATTTTAATTAAACATCTCTAACTTTTAAACAGTTAAGTAACGTTTTACTATTTTTGTTTTATTTGTAAATGCAATCTAGCTTAAATTTTGATCTGAAGTTTGTTGCAAATGCTCTTTACTATAAGTAAAAAAGAATGAAAACTATATCTCGGTCAAACACAATCAAAAACTGTAAAACAGAATGTTGTCTGGGCGAAGATAAAAATGATAGCAAACCACTCAGTTTTTCTTCTTTTTTGGCTCAAGTAACAACATTCTGGTTTTTTTACTGGGTGGTCAAACCCCGTAGGTTTATACTCTTTTGGGCTAACTTTGGCCAAGTGAATAATATTCATTTTAAAGTAGTCTGATCGTTATTTATTATAACTAAAATATTATTTTGAAGCATGCTATCCAAATAATTTTTTTTAAAAAACAGATTTTGCACGAATGTATTTTGGATTTTAAAAAAAGTATATTTTCTTGTTAAAATATTTGTTGTTGTTGTTGCTAAATCAGTATTGCAATTTAATAAAATTATATAATAGTTTAATAAATTACTACATTGCAGTTTGCTTGTGTTGTTTATATTTACTTTTGTTTAAAGCATAATGCCTCGTGAATATAACAAGCATAGTGTTGGTAAACGTGCATACAATACTTGTTCTAATACCATTCTTTTGAAAGAGTCTATGGGTGCAATTAATGAAGGTATGTCTTTTCGTCAAGCCTCAAAAAGGTTTAGTATACCAAGAAGCACTATACATAATAAGATGAAGTTAAAGGATAAAAAATGCATTAATGCACCAACCATATTTACTTATGATGAGGAGCAGTTGTTTTCATCTAGAATCAAAGTTATGTGCGATTAGGGATTTCCATTAAATAAACTTGATGTTAAAATGTTAGTAGCTGGTTATTTAAAATCGCAAAAACGTACTGTAAAAATATTTAAAAAAAATCTTTCTGGTGATGATTGGGTTTCAAGTTTTATGAAACGATCACAGTTAACCCATAGCATCAAATATTAAAAGAAAACGTGCAGCTATAAACAAAGAACAATTAAAAATTTATTTTGACAAAATTAGACTTGAGCTTGAAGGGATTCCACCGTGTAACATTTGGAATTATGATGAAACAAATTTACGTGATGATCCTGGAAATAAAAAAGTTGTAATGAAACGTGGAACTAAGTACCCTGAGAGGATAATGAATAGCAGTAAGGCTTGTTTCTCTGTAATGTTTTGTGGAAATGGTGTTGGAGAAATTCTTCCACCATACACAGTTTTTAAAAGCACACATTTATACGATTTATGGATAAAACACGGTCCCAAAAATTCTCGTTTTAATAGAACTTTATCTGGCTGGTTTGATGAAGTTACTTTTGAGGATTGGTTTTTTAGAACATTATTGCCATGCATTAAGAAACAAACTGGGAAAAAAGTATTAATAGGTGACAATCTCTCTTCCCATTTAAGTCATAAAGTTATTCATTCTTAGGAAAAACATAACATTAAATTCATAGGCCTTCAGCCTAATTCAACCCACTTGCTTCAACCTCTTGATGTTGCATTCTTTGCACTATTAAAAAAAGCATGGAGAACTATACTTCTGAATTGGAAACTTACTTCACGTGGTAAAAAATTTGCAATGTTACCAAAAGAAGATTTCTCTAAGTTGCTGAATGATTTAATGACATCCATTAATACATGCTCGAGAAAAAATTTAATAAGTGGTTTTAAGGCTTGTGGTTTGGTGCCGTTTAATCCTAATGCTGTGTATATCAAATTACCAAGTGAAAACGTCTTGAGTCCTCGTAAAGCTTTAGACCAGAGCCTTTTAGACATATTAAATGAGAAAAAAAATGAAGGTGGTGATAAGAGAGATGTTACACAAAGTAAAAATAAACAAAAAAAAATATCCAAAAAAAGACTTGAAATTGAACCAGGAAAATCTATTTCTGTAGAATACGATAGTGAAACAGAAACAGCATCTGAAGGTGAATCAGTCTCTGTTGAATTTATGATAGACTACTAAAGAGATGTCTAAATTTTTTTATAAAAAAAACAGAGTTTATGTTACAAATTGTTTGTTTATTCTTTAGTACTCTCTTATTTTTTGCTTTTTCTGACATTTAATAAAAAAATCAGTAAGTTTTTTTTAATCATTTTTAGCTAAGGGGTCGTCCATAAACTACGTCACGTTATAAGGGGAGAGGGGGGTTGGTCGTTTTGTGACGACTCATTCAAAACTCTCTTCTTAAGTGTTACAATTTTGTGACGAGGGGGGGGGGGGGGAGTTCGAAAACGGTCAAAAATTGCGTGACGTAATTTATGGATGACCCCTAATATGTTTCTTTAATACTGTTTATATTCGTTTTTATTGTCCCTTTTTTAATTTCTTGATATATTTTAAGTACCCCTTTTTAAAATAATTGCGAACTGTAAGTTTAAATTACATTAAATGTTGTTAATAACACTTCATTTACATCCGGTGTTAAAAAACAATTTACTATGTCAAAGTTACCCCATTGCCGGGTAACATTGACCACCTCATTATTTCCATAAAATCTTGGATTTGGTGAATACAATAAATACACCATTTTACTAGTTAAATGACATTAGTAATGCACAACTTTGAGCATCAAAATAGTTTAGGAAAATGTTCCTTTTTTTCTTATAGTTATCTTCTTCATCAAAATTGGTACAAAGTTACCCCGGTTTACGGTAACTGGTTTTTCTAACTAAACAGCTTGTTTTTGATTGTTTAACAAGTTAGGAAAACCAGTTTAATGGCAAATTTCTAGGTTTACTTGAACGACTAAATCTTTATAATTTAATTCTTCAAGAACACGTTGAAAAAGTAGCAACTCAAAAATTAGGAAATAGATTACAAGTTCAATACCCAATCGCAAAATTGCAAAAAAAACAGTTATCTTATTTTGTTCCTTTCAGAGTAAAAAACAACTTTTTAGCGGGAAGAACGGAAGGTTGATGCCACACCATACTATGGGCACATAGATGTGCATATAGTATGGTGTTAGCAGGAATTTTTCGGGTATATGGCGTATTAAAAATGTTTTTATAAAACTTGATTACCAATTTTGAAACTTCTATTATTAAAATTTCGCATCTTTTGAGTACTTGATTGACAAACTTTTAAAGATATTTTTTCATATAATATTAGGGACCTTAATAAATATTTAACCCTTTAACTAAGGGTTAAATATTTATTAAGGTCCTCTTTAAATATTCAAGGGTTAAATTAAATAATTAAGGGTTAAATATTTAATTAAATAATTAAGGATTAAATATTTAATTAAATAATTAAGGGTTAAATATTTGTTAGAAACTCTTTAAATATTTAAGGGTTAAGTTTTTTGTGTTAAACATTCATTAATATAAACTTTAAAGTGTTAAATATTTATTAAGGACCTTTTAATTACTTAAGTGTGCTCCATATATCTACTACTTTTTATTATTCTAAAAAATTTAGAAAACGAAAACTTATCTCTTTAACATCGGGGAGAAAAGTTTTTACAAGATGAGTTGTTTTATTAAAATCATTGTTCATTGCCTAACTATGGTGTTTAATTAAGTGTATAGTAATTATTTGCAATTTTTGTGTCTTTTTATTGAACCGGTGAGAATAACAAAATAATCCAGTCACAAATTTCAAATTTTATTAGGATATAGAAAAAACGTCATAAATCCTCCAAGTTTGCAAATATTCGAACTTTATTTTCACGAACTTTATTTTCACTTCATATATCACGGATTAAAAAATAAATGATTGTCTAATAAAAAATTCGTATAAAATAGAATTTTATAACGCAGCTTCTTCAAATATGTATGTTACGTTTGCAATAAAAAAATACTTAACTTTTATAAAAATTTTCTTTCTTATCTTTACTAATAATTTCCCATTTCAAAAAATTTTTACTACCCATTGACGGATGCAGGGTACTACCTATTGTAGTTGCTGTAATAATAAGCAGATGTAAATATCTGACGAAAAATTTCTTGGAGCAGGGAGGTATTATAGAATTATACTTCTACTAATATAGCTTTTTGCTTGGAGGTAAATAAATATATTTTAAAGAGTGATGACAACTGATCTAATTTTATTGTGATTCAAGCTCAAATTAAAAGTTTAAAAAAAAAAATTGAAAAAAAATCTAAAAATTATCACCATATTTTTTACACTTAACAAAACATTTTACCATTTAACAAGTTTTTATTGCTATTTAAAATGTTTAAACATTGACTTTGCTAAAGCTATTATTCATTAATGTTCTTTGATCCTAAACCTGACCTTACTTTGTGTACATATATTTACGCATATTCCAATGTGTCAGTCGATGTATATATATTTTGCGCGGTAAGAATTACTTTGTTTTATCTCCACTTTATAAAAAATTTTAGTTATTGATTGTGTTGTGTACAATAAAATAGTGTTTTTCTAATGTATTTAAATCTTATAAAAAAATGATAAGTGAAAAGGTTGAGGAGAAAATATATGTAATTAAAAACTGTTGTCCTTTTGCATGTCATACTCTTTGTCATCCCCTCTTTTTTATTTACCTCGGTCTTAGCCTTACATTTTTTTATCATACCAATTAACTACCTTTCTCAAATTAATTTCCATTTCATATTCTTCTTTTCTGTAAGGATATTGATCAATTTAGATGGTTCTGTATACATGCAAATACCTTTTTTGTAAGAAAGAATTTTGTAAACTTGTAAAAATCTATTCTCTACCGACATAATTGTAATCTCAATTATAACTGTTATTAATTTCACAGTGTGATATCATTAATATTAGTCTTGGGCGGTTCTTTTTACTTCCAAAAGATATTTCGTAATCAAGCGTATATTTTTTAAAATATATTTTACAGACTATAAGAGTATAATTTTTTAAAGTAGCACTAACGCAACTTTAAATTACCTTATTAGTCGACAAACTTCTTTAGAATACACTTCGTAAAATATTATTTGATTTTTTTAAGAATAAAAAAAAAGATGAACTTTCTTTACTAACTTTAATACTGCTCTGCCCAATAACAACAACAAAAAAAAACTTTCATATGTTAAAAAGAGTTTCGACAGTTTTAAAGAAAAAATAATGCTGGATAATTTTTAAAGGTTTGCATTTTTCAAATCAAATTTTAATGTTTTTTGTCTACAAATATAATCAAACCTGTTTGATCCAACGATAATCTTCTGAGAAACCCAGCTCAAATGTTTGGTTGGCTGGTAATCTATGTTTATTAATTTTTATTGATAACTATAATTTATATGCAATATAAATAAATATTTATAAATTTTAAAAATATATCAAACTTTTCCTTTCAAGCATTAGTCGCATCGAAGTCTGTACACTAACGTCATTTGAACAGTTTAAGAAACAAAAAGTATCTATTTATTATGTTTGTTCATTCATCTGGAACATATCGTTTTAATTGCTCTTATGTGTTTGCTGAACGTGCGCAACTCGTTATATGTTGTGATTTTTTCTTTCAAATATTTTAGATAACGCTGCTTGCTCGAAGGTCGAAATAAATGAATGCTGTAAGTTACATATTCAGCTCAATAATATTTGATACATTCAAAGACAATTATTTCAGAGATTCTCTAAATAAGTAACGCACGCGGTAACGTACGCGAAGTAGACGAAACCTCAAACCTAATAATCAGGTCACGATAAATCGCTATTCTGGAATATATGCATAATATACATAAACTAATATTAAAATGAATGTAAATTAATAATAAATAAAATTAACAATAAATCTTCATTTTATGAATTTAACAATAATTTAACGGGATTTTTTAGTGAGAGAACCGAAAGATGTTATCCAAAATTAAACGATTTGACGTTTTTCGTCAAAAAGTTTAATTAGTAGTTACTGAGAAAACTACTTACATATAAAATTCTTTTTACAATTGATTTTTACAAAATACATATATAAATATATAAAAACAACAATTTAAATGTATTTAAAAAAGTAATAAAGGACAGAAATAATAAAAAACAAAACCTACAGGGTAATATTAACGTAATTTTATAAATTAGGCAAAATCTCTACAAAATGGTAATAAAAAAACACTTTGCAAATATAAATACAGAAATAATAATTTAAAAATATTTAATAATATAAAGATATTCTAGTTAATTTTAAGATCAAATTTTTGAGTTACTTATTCATTAATTCATAGAAAAATATATACATATAACACGTTTACAAGCTAAATTTTTTGAAAAAATATTCAAAGAGTACTTTCTGTAAGAATGAAATAACATCTGTCACAAACACGAACAGGCTCACTGTACCCAATCTCCAGAAGAGGACATTTCCTTTGGGAACAAGTACCGCAAAAAATACCACCACATTTACGACAATGGTGCTGAAAATAAACATTAAAAAAAATAGAAACTTGCTAAAAAAAATTTAATAGTTTGCAAATATATCAAATATTATAAATATCAGATAAAAATATTTAGGGTAAAGAAATTATTACTCTTCGTCGCACAGTTGTAAATCGTTGTTTGCAAGCCATACAGCTCTTTGTTTCTTGATCGTGAACCCACGCTCGAATAACACATGCTGCTGTATGATAAGCACCACAAGCAATACTTTGTACTTGTTTGTATGCTAACGATTCTACTAGAGTTGGTACATACCTAAAAATTAACAAATGTAATAGTTTTTTGATGTAATTGAAACAATTATTCAATTTTTAATTTATACATGTAGAATAATTAAAAATAAAATAAGAAAAATACGTCGAAAATTTTGCTGTAATTCTAAATTTATAATTATAAACATAGTTTAATGGAAAAAACTAATTTAAAAATAATGTCAAGTATTACATCTAACGTGGGTAAAGTTTAAATCCCTGTTAAATATTCAAAAATTAAATATTTTTATACTACTTAAATATAACCCTTAAAAAAAAGCCTGACTATAGGCTATTTAATAATTTAATTTCAGAATGCAAAGACCTACAAAATATAATTATTTTCTTAAATTAAATTCAGCGCATACACCAAAGTTTAAAATTGTAAAAATAATCAGAAATAATTTTCATGTTTTAGTAGTTTCATAATATTTGCTAAATATAAATATCAATTATTTAAATTGACTAATTAAAAAAAAAAACTATGTAGTATAAAGTAAACAAAAAAAACCTGTCCTGATGATCGCCGTGACCTAAACGACCTCTGGATCCATTTCCCCATGTATATAAACAACCTGATTCTAAATAAAGACGTTATATAAACCTAGATATGAATTTAGCAACAAATTTATAATATAAATTAGTATATATAAATTACGTACCTGTGACTGCCGCAGTATGCTCTATGCCACAGTCAACTTTTGCAATCTTAGTGTTATTTGGCATAGATAAAATGCAAGGGTTGGTTATATAGGGTGATGTTTGATTGACTGCTACACCAAGCTGACCAGATTGGCCGTTTCCGAAAACGTAAACAACACCCGTGCCTGTAAAATATATGTACTTTTTCTGGTAAGTATTAAGTACTTACTTATACTGGAACATACTTATATATATATATATATATATATATATATATATATATATATATATATATATATATATATATATATATATATATATATATATATATAAACACACATATATATTTATAAATATTATAACTTACATGACAAAACTACAGTGTGACTCCCACCGCATTTTATATCTTGAATCTCTTCATTCCTTAACACAACGAAAGCAATTTTGGTAAAACTATTTTAATGTATTTCAGTTGTGAAACTGAAGGATTTAATTATAAACATTTTGATTTTTATAAAGTAAACTCACCAAAACGTAGATGGTGCTTCAAAGGGAATATCATGTGCTTCAAGTTTATCTGTACCTAACTGTCCAAACTCATTTGATCCCCACAACCATACATCTCCGTTTACTTCAAATAAATCAAAATCTCGTATCAATACAAAGTTAGAAAACTATACAAAGCAAAAAAAAAAAAAAAATTAATAAAATACCAGTAACAGCGCCCACGTGTTTGGAACCACATGATACTTTGCTGATACGTACGCCATTCAAATGTTTAATGAGATATGGCTCTTCAATATCATTAAAATGTCCGGCGCCAAGTTGTCCACAATCATTTTTTCCAAAAGAATAAAGTTCTCCTTCAGAATTTAATGCTACAATCAAATGGTTATAAATTGTAATTACTTATTACGGTCACGCAATATTTATTTCGCTAAGGCACTGTTTTATTACGCGTTACGCACTGTGGCATTAGAGCCACAAACAAGTCAACTTATTTCTTAATGGGAAAAAAGAGCCGAAGAAAACAAAATGCGATTTGTGGTTGCAAACATTTAATTTAGGTAGCAAATATTATATTATATCATGTGTACTTAACAAAAACTTTTTTGGTTTTGCCGGAAGTCGTACGACATCCAGTTATGTACATAGATCAAATATTTAAATACTACAAAAAACTAAACAGGAAAAATATTTTTCATTTTTGATAAAAACAAAAAAATCACATATATTTAACAGAACCATAAGCTTAAAATAATCGTTTCATTCATTTACGCCACACGCAAACTTTTTTCAATTTTTTAATCACTAATATATTAAAATAAAATTAAAAAAAATACTTTAATTACAAAAAAATTAGTTAATCTAGTTAGTAAAAAAACTTGGTAATACGACATTGACAAAAACTTCAATAAACTTGGTATTACAGTCGGGGAGATAAAAAACATGTAGTCTAACTTAGACTGAATAATAAAAGTCTGTTTTAATGTTTTAACATATTAAAATGTTTAAAATATAGAGCAAGCATTTCATTAATTTAACTTTAAAGACATTATTCCACCGACATTTTAGGAGGTTTGAAATATTAAAAGCAATCTAAAACGCCAGTATTAGTAGTCTTCAAATGGGTGCATTATATTATACACGTTTGGGTAAAATATCAAATTGAAAAAAAAAAAATCAAATTTATATAAAATTGTACAGATTTCTAAAATTCTACAGACCATCAAAAAAACAAAATATGCAGACAAATAAAATCTAAATTTATTCAAACAACGTCGAAACAGTCATTACAAAGGTCATTAAGGAACACATAGAAGTTTATAAACTAAAAAATTGTTTGGAAAAACAACAAACTTCCAAAATGTAGGAACCAAATGTTAACCAAATAATTAAAAAATAAACAGACCTATTTTAATTAAAAAATATTGAATTAAAAAATAAGAAAAATTATTTAGCATATCACGGTGAAGTATTAAAGGTAGAAAGACTTTTTAAAGGTGAAGAAAAGGTAATGTAAAAAAAATGCTTTTTAAAATAATGTGAAATTTTTTTTTTTAAATATCCATGTAATAAAAAAAAAAAAATATCAAACGGTAAAATAAAGCAAGATGTAAAAAAAGAAAGAAAAAAAAGGTGTCAAATGTTCTCTCTCTCCATCTCTTTCTTTCTCTCTCTCTCTCTCTCTCTCTCTCTCTCTCTCTCTCTCTCTCTCTCTCTCTCTCTCTCTCTCTCTCTCTCTCTCTATATATATATATATATATATATATATATATATATATATATATATATATATATATATATATATATATATATATATATATATATATATATATATATATATATATATATATATATATATATATATATATATATATATATATATATATATATATATATATATATATATATATATACATAAAATAATAAACAGATGTAACCATTTAATTTAAAAAATTTGGAATATTAATCAATAAAAAAAAAAGCGTGCTGTAAATTACTTTTTTTAAATGTTTTAATTTTTTTTTTAATTTACTGTTTTCTATCAACAGTCTTTTTCATAACCCTTTTCAAAAAAAATTATTTTATTTTAATTAATTATATTCTTTTTCTCATTTATTGAACTTTTTTGTTTCAGTTTTATCGAAAATTTCGTTATATATAATAACGAAATATATTCGTTATATATAAAAATATTTAATTATATATAATATATAAAATTCCTTTCATTCAATTCTATAATATAACATAATAAAATATAGCTCAATTGCTTATTTGTTGTTTAAATAAATAAACAATTTATTAACATATAATCCGACAAAACTTTGATATTTGAGATGTTCTGAATCTTTGAGTAAATAAGATTTATCTTTAAACATTTCACTAAAAATAAATTATTGTTAAAAAAAAAATTATATTAATGGTAATAGTAAATATATTCTATATACTTTATTTAAAAGATATTTAGAATTTCAAAAGAATTTTTTGCAATCTTTGAAAGCAATTTTGTAGAGACGGAAATAATTTTTCTTTTAGCTTATATACTATTTCATATGTTTTATATTTATGTAATGTTGGTTTTACTATTTTAGAATTGATAATTGTCATATTAAAAAGTAGTCGCTTTGACAATTGGATATTTTAGAACAACACTTAAGTGCTCTATAAGACCCTTTTTATTGAAATGACAACTGATTTTGAATTATTATTACTGATATTGCTATTATTATTATTTTACATATGTGTTTGTGCATGTATACATATATATATATATATATATATATATATATATATATATATATATATATATATATATATATATATATATATATATATATATATATATATATATATATATATATATATATATTAACTATTAAAATATTTAGAAAAAATGATGGCAATGGAGAATCGTGCAGAAAGGTTTAATATTCAAGAAGATATACGTTTAAACATTCTTGTGAACTCATACGAGAAACAAAAACAAGACTCTTTAAGAAACATGGAAAATTCTCAAAGACATTTGGCCTTACAGTTTCAACAAAAATTTTCTAAAGAAATTAGTAAAAAAAATGAACACATTTTTTTACAAAGGGAAAAAATGAACTCTGTAGGAAGTTTACCATTTTTATCAAGTAGCTATGAAAATATTTCTATACTGGAACTAAAACACAATTCTGTAAAGACAAACTTTGTATCCCCTCTTAGCCTCAGAAGACATAGCTCAACACAAGTATTAATACCGCAAATCAAAAAAAAAAAAAAATTTCCACTAATCAGTGCCAGCAGTTTGCCATCCAGTAACAGCCTTGTTACTGAGCAACCACAACAGACTTACAACAGAATCACCAAAAATAAAGACTGTGGAAAAACACTTACAAAAAGTAAAAGTGACAGTTCTATTTCAAAATCAATAAATGAGAGCAACATTTTTGATAAAGATCTCAACAAAAATACTTTCTACGAAAAAAGAATGTCAACAACAACAAAAATGTCAAGAAAAAATTCACTTAAAATAAATGATGAAATTAAAAACTATTTGATTAAAGACAAGATTCAGAAAGAAAAAATTGAACATTTTTTTAAGAGCATTGAAAAACTAAACTTAAAAGAAAAATCAAATAATGAAACAAATAACTATATAAATAAAATAAATAGAAACATATTGACTTTTGACCATATCTTTGATTAGCATTAACATGTTTAAGCTTATTAATTTATTAAAAATGTCATAATTTATTTCTTGAATTGAAACTAATTATTGTGAGAAAGTCACCAACACAAATAACTAATTAAACAGTTGAAACATAGTAAAAAGATTTTTAACCAATCAATTAAGTAAAACCTTTTTTATTACCAAACATTTATTTAATACACTAATGACGAAGGATTACTCCTGAATTTTTTGCATAAACAAAAACTTATAATGTGTATATGAACCATTGTTAAACATAAATTAAATATATTTAGAAATTGATTGAATTGTTTTTTTCTTGTGTGTTTACTTAGTAATTATACTTGTCCTTAAATCTGTTATAATTTCTTTGAAAAATCTTCCTAAAGATTTTATTAAAATTTGAAATAATGATGACATATAAATTATAATAAAAAAAACACAAAAACAGCAACAACAACAACAAGAAGCTATGTGAAGAATTTTAAACCCACATTTAATCAAAATGTAAAAATAAAAGAATATGCTCAGTGAGTTGTTTTGTTGTTGATATATATATATATATATATATATATATATATATATATATATATATATATATATATATATATATATATATATATATATATATATATATATATATATATACATATATATACACACACATATATATATATATATATATATATATATATATATATATATATATATATATTTTTTTTTTTTTAACATCTTCACATCTTCACTTCCAACAAGGCTGCAAGCAACCACTATAAGAGTTGGAAGTTACTGGAAGAGAAAAGACTAAATCTGTAGAGCAAGATAACGATTGACTGATGACTTAAAAGATTGCAAATTATATGAATCAGGAAAGCAAGATGAAGGAAGCGAATTCCAAAGAACTGATGTTCGAGGAAAAAAACTAGAAGAATAAGAGTTTTTGAAGCACTTAGGAACAGTCACAGAAAAAGGATGAGACTTAATTGAATGGCGAGTAACACGAGAATGAATTTTAGTAGATGGCACAAGGGACGCTAGCTCATTAGAGCAGTGCCCATTATAGTATTTGTAGAAAAGAGAAAGAGAAGCAACATTACGACGATGTGACAAAGGTTGGAGATTGGCTGCCAGAGCAGGTCCAACTGTGTTTACAATTCGTTTTTGCACCTTGTCTAAAAGAGAAAGAGCATCATTAGAAGATCCGCCCCAGATGTGGCAACAGTATTCCATACAGGGACGGATTTGAGATTTATAGAGATAGAGAATAGAATCTGGAGTAAGAAAGTGTCGAGCTCGATAAAGAGATGCAACCTTAGCAGATGCTAATTTTGCAATGGATTTGATATACGGTTTAAAAGAAAGATCAGAAGTAAGAGTTAATCCTAGAAGATGAATGGTAGATGACTCATCTAGTACATTACCATTCATAAATATAGGAAGATCTAAATTATTACGATAACGATTGGCTGAATAAAATTGAGTTTTATCTGAATTAAAGTTCACCAGCCACTGTGAGCCCCATGCTGTAGCAGAAGTGAGATCCTTTTCAAGCTCAGATACCCCCTCCAAGCAATCAGAGAGTGTAGGCTTCTTATCATGACAAGAGTAAATGGTAGTGTCGTCGGCGAATAATGCCACCTTAGATGTGAGAATATCTGGAAGATCGTTAATGTAAATTAAAAAGAGTATAGGGCCAAGGATTGAACCTTGAGGAACCCCTGAAGTTACAGGATGTGAAGAAGAGTGTTGTCCATCGAGGACAACTTTTATACTACGATTGGAAAGAAAGGACTCAATAATCTTAAAGACGTTACCAGCTACACCATAAGAAGAAAGCTTATGGAGAAGACCAGCATGCCAAACTTTATCAAAAGCTTTAGAAATGTCAAGTGCGATAGCCTTAACCTCTCCACCTCTATCTAATGCACGGTAAAACCTATCGGTTATTACTGTTAGCACATCAGCTGTAGAACGAGAAGACCGAAATCCATATTGATGATCAGAAAGTAAGTTATTTGATTCAAGATGAGAGATTAAGTGTTTGTTGATTAAAGATTCAAAAACCTTGCTTATGACAGGAAGAAGACTAATGGGACGGTAGTTAGATGAATCAGATCGCTCTCCGGAATTTTTGAAAATAGGGATAACAGATGCTGCTTTCCAGCATGATGGAAAACAAGACTCTGATAAGCACTTGTTAAATAGTTTAGAGAGTATGGATGAAAGCTCAGGAGAACACCTCTGCAAGACTACAACAGGAATGTTGTCAGGACCATATATATATATATATATATATATATATATATATATATATATATATATATATATATATATATATATATATATATATATATATGCAACGAGATCAAACGTCAGTATTCAAGTCAAACAGGAATTTATTTAACAGGTGTGGAAATTCGATAGCAAAAACTTTTTTCTGTGCCTACATACTAAAACCAATTCACTTTTTTTATTTAACAAAGGTTCTTTATTGTATGTTAAAAAAAAAAAATTTCTCATTTATGCAAAGGTTATGCCTTTTTTGAGGATGGTTTATAGAGTTGACATTTTTTAACAATATTCCACTCGATTATTGGCTTAATGCCTGCCTCCTTAAGTTTCCAGATCTCTTTAGAAAGTTCAGTGTCATTTTTATACCTGACCAAGTTAAATGATTTTATGTGGTTTGCAAACCTGATCTTGAAAAAAAGTATATCATGTTGGGTCTCAAAAGAAGTAAAATTTTATAAAAAATTTCAAAAATAATAATCATTTTATATAAAGATTACTAGTTTAAAATTTATGGCCTAAAAACTATCATTTTTTTACAAAAAATAAAAAGTACATATTTTTTAAGTTTTTTTTTTAAATAAACTTTTTTTATTTGTGTTTCTATAAATTGTTTTTATTATTTTTAAAATTTTTATAAAATTTCACTTCTTTCAAGACCCAACATGATATACTTCTTTTTTTTCAAAATATCAGGGGCTCGTTTGATGTTTAAGGATCTTGAGCTAATTACAGAGAACACATTTAGGAGGTGGCAGCAGACAATTTCAAAAAAAAGTTGTTTTTAGTGGCACTCATATATATATATATATATATATATATATATATATATATATATATATATATATATATATATATATATATCTATATATATAATCTGTAGTATTACCAATTGATTTATCCTAAGTATTTAGCCATGATATAAAGTAGGCAGTGATAATGTAAATTGTGTTATTATTTATTACAAAACTTTATTGTATTTTGCATTTTGTTTTGAATTTATATGTATTTAATTTTCGTAAAAGCCTAGTTATTAATGTTAATATGTGTAAATGCAATGCTACACAAAGTTTATTATTAAAATGGCTAAACAAACGCCCAAAAAAATTCTAATGATATTTCTCCGAATTTGAATCAAATGTCTATATCGAAAAACTATCAAATTTTCCAGATCTCAGTGTCTGCAAGCAGTAAAAGATCAGAATAGTCAACTTTTATTGCACGTATCAATGAATGTGTATAATGAATTTACTACCGACGTTGGTTACTTTGTACTAAAAAAAGAAACTGTATCAAATTCAAATAAAATTACTGATACTATGAACTATAAATAACTAAAAAAAGAAACTGTATCAAATTCAAATAAAATTACTGATACTATGAAATATAAATTAGCCTAAAACATATTTTTGTAGATTGAAAACAAGGTTAAGATTGAGAATATACCATAATCAATTAATGGGTTTGGCTTTGCTGTATGTTCACAGACATATTATTATATCCATTGATGATATAATGATATAAAAGTTTTCTAAAATGAAAAAGATAAATAAAGACTTTGTTGTTTAACTATTTGACTATCAACCTTATATAGGTATAATTTGTGTGTATATATATATATATATATATATATATATATATATATATATATCCTTATAATTAGTTGAAAGAGACTTGAATGATAAAAAAAAGTCTTTTTCAATTTTTTTTTAAACATTGTAATGTCATTTAAAAGTTACAACAATTAAAAAAAAACGAAAGTAGATTGGGTTTTATTACTTTTTATAAAACCACAATAATTATGACTAGAAAGTTTTTTTATTTTATGGAGTTTTTTTTATTATTTTATAATTTTTTAAAAACATGCAAGGATTGTTACTACATTGAATATCTTATTGCCTGCTGCTATAAGGGAGTGTTGCTACATCTACTATCTTATAGCCTGTTTCTTCAAGGAAGTGCCGCTACATTGATTAAAGGTTTGGGCAAACAATCTATTGTTTTAAAGAAAATTTTTTAAAAAAATCTATTGTTTTAAAGAAAAGTTTTTAAACTTATACAATAATTACAATAATTTTTAGAAAAAAGGGTAAACTTTGCTAACTCAGCTGTTCAGATCAGGATTAAAATAATAATAATTACCGATAGTAAACTCTAATCCACAAGAAACTGCTTTGATTTTGTTTGCAGTGCTAAAGTCAACTTTTCTTGGAACTGCTTGTTTACGATCTTCTGTTGTATATCCAAGATGAGGCCCAGATCTTCCAAATGTATAAAGCTCACCAGATTCTTCAAAAAAATTCATAAAACAGTTAATGGTCATCTTAAAATAACTTGTTTTCAAAATTTATTAGATCAATCATTTATAAAACAAATTTCTCACTTCCTTTTATTGATATTTCTACAAAATTTACCTGTTACAGAAGCTGAATGTAACTCATTGCATGAAACAAAAGTAATATTTACATTTTCAAAAGCACCAATTTTGAGGGGCATATATCTGTCTAAAATATTTTTAAGTCCAAGTTTTCCCCCTCTTCCACATCCCCATGAAAACATTTCTCCATTAACTAAACCATAAAAGTTAATTTTGGAATTGATTTAAATGCAATTTTATAACAGCAGGATATAAAAATATAACCAAGATGTAAAACATTGTTTCAGCTCTTCCATAATGTCATTTAAATTAAAAAAATGGCTTTATGAAAACCTATCCAAACCACAGTATGTAACCATGGATTTAAAATTTTAAAAATTACATAATTCATTTACAACTTTGTTAATTTTTTTAACTGTTATGTTATTATAAACTGAAAAAAAACAACAAAAAAACTCACCACTAACAGCTAAAGTATGCTCAGTTCCACAAGCTACAGTACGTATATCTCTACCTAATAAAGCTTCAACAACACGAGGGAAAAGTTCTTCTGTTTCTTCACCATGACCTAAAACACCTTTAGGGCTTGCACCCCATGTGTATATATCACATGCATCTATAAAAAGAACTTATTCATTAAAACTAAAATAACTTTAGGTACATTAACAACTGCAACAACAAAAATAGCAATAAACACAATTAGAAACATAAAAGGATATAAAAAGAATAACAACTGTAAATACAACAAAAAGCTTAAAATCAAAAACTATAAAAATAAAACAGTAATAAAAATGATTACAAACATAAAAGTAAGAATAAGAAAAATAACAACTGTATTTACAATAAAAAACATAAAAAAACAAAATAAAGATACAACGTAATAGTCATAATTAGAATGACACTGAATTTAGAGACACTGTAACAGATGGTACCTTCTTTGACAGAAACTCTATCTCCAAATAAGCCTAATTCGAGCTAAAAATAGTTTTATACATGGTAATTAAAATGATAAAAATTAAAATTTTTTAGGTGGATATGTTAATAATTGATAGAAAAAACAAGTTTATAATTAAATAAGTTAAAAGTAAATTGCCTACAGATATAAACATTTAAAATATATAAACAAAACTAGATAAATGTGAAAGTTATAATTAATAAAACTACCATTAACTTTCCATCAGCTTTGGAAAGGTCAGCTTCACTCATAAGTCTCAGGCCATCTAAGTTATCAAAACCATTAATTAGGGCCTAGATAAAAAATTTAAGCTATATATTTAAACTAATAAAGTTCTTTAACAAAAATTTTAAAACATTTAAAATACCTGCAGTCCCACGGTCCAAATATCATATTCTACTCTGTCTTTACAAACAATATCCAAAGAACGTTTTGTGTTACCTTGCTTGTAAATGACTGAGAATGAGATTGCCTAACAAAAACAAACAACATTTTGCAACCAAAAATAAATTTATATATAAAACTTATAAATGTAAGAATTAACATATTTAATCATAAAACATAAATTAATATATCTAAAAACTAATAAAGTACGAAATTAGTATAAAATTAGTATTTGAATTTATAAACACCTATGATTTATATTTAGTGAGATAAAAAATATTTGATTTGTAATTATATTCCACAATGACATAAAGTATAACATATTCAAAACCGAATGTTTTAAGTCACCAAAAAAAGATGATATTAGGATTTTCATCAACAATTAGAGTCACAGGTAAGATTATAAGGAAGATGAGCAACAGCACAGGACCATAGATGAAATCTTGTGGTACCCCCAAAATTTACTGGAAATGAAGGAGAGTGTTGTCAATCCATGAAATGCTACTTTGAAAAATACAAATATTTGTAAAAGATAGATCAAATCAGTTTGGAAGAAGCAATGGCTTTTTTTTATTTCAATATTTTATGCTACTATATTAATGATTTAAATTATTATTGAAAAAAACATTTAACTATACAGTTGCTTTTGCTAATCAACTCGTTGAACAAAAAGACTCATTAGGTAGCCTTGACAATGCTTACCAGAAGAACTTATATAGAAACCATCTGTGTTCAACATGGCAATGGTATTTTACACCTGTTGATGGAATTGGCCTCTCTAAAAGCTAACAACTCAGAAGTACTAACAGACAGCCTAAGAACCATTAAACATATTTATAAAGCTGTACCCTCATTAGAGGATATTAGAAAAAATATGTTTTCCCACTTTATTTCTTGTGAGCAAAACTTATTATGGGTGGCTTTTGCAGATTGATAATGTTTCTCCTTGTTTAAACTTTTTAGATGTTGTTGAGTTCCAGTCCAAATTTGAAGTTTAGTTTTGCCTATGTATCTCTTTGAGCATTTGCATTCAATCCAATAAGTTCTAGGTTGATTTCCGGGTAATTTAGTTTTGTTTTTTGACGTTAGTAATGTTTTTAAATCTGGATTTGATTTGAAGACTACTCTATAGCCAGCATTCAGAATTATTTTCCTTAGTTTTGAGTATAGTGATGGTATCCACGGCAACAATACAGTAGGGATGTTAAGAGAGTCTGATTGAATTTTATTGCTTTTTAGAGACCAATTATTTCCAAATAATTTTGCAATCTGTTTAAGTTGGCATATGTTGTACCCATTTTCGTTAAACATTTGAATAAGGAAATTAATCTCATCTTATAAATATAAATTACTGCATAAAGAATAAGCCCTGTGAATGTAACCTTTAAATATTGCATTTAGAATCTTAGGGTCATTATTTGAGTGATGTTTAATTTGGATATTAGTAATGACTTCCTTTCTGTAAACTTTAAACTTGTATTTTCCTTTGTTGTTATTTATTATGGTTAAATCAAGGAAGTTTAGAAATCTATTTTCGCTTTCAGTTTCGATCGTATATTGTATTGCAGGGTGTTGTTTGTTTAAGATAGTTAGGAATTGTTCTGCTTCTTGAGTGTTGGGAAATCTAGCGTGACTATCGTCGACATATCTTAGATAGAATTTTAGGTCAAGAGGAGGATTTACTGTCATTGCAATTTTGAAAGTGTTTTGTTCATGTTGTAAAAATGATTCTACAAGTACGACCATGAATGAAAAACCTATAGGACCAGAATTCTTAAGTTCATGGATTTTGTTGTTCCAAAGAAAATAACAACGGTGTAAACAAAGCTCTATGAGTTGTCTTGTTTCAGATATAGTAAGTTTGGTAGAATATTTGAAGTAATCATCTTTATTTAATTGGTCTATAAGAACTAAAGTGGCTTCCTTTAGTGGTTTTGATGGATACAAGTTTATTACATCAAATGAAACTTGAACCTTGTTTTTGTCAATCTCCCATGAATTCGCTTTACTAATAAAATCAAAAGAATTTTTCAGTTATGTTTAAGACATGTTGTATTTTCTTTACTAAATAGTTCGATATTCCATAATTAGGAGTGCTGATAGTTGATACAACTATTCTCATAAGATTTTTCAAGTTTGTGAGCTTTAATTAGACCATACATACGAGGCGGAATGGGATCACTTGGATATATACTATCATATTCCGTTTTTGAAAATCACTATTTTTTATTAAGTTATGAGAGATAAGTCTTAATTTTAATAGCATAACTAGATATGGGATCTTCATTTAAAATTTTTGTTGGGCCAATTTGTTCGTGAACTTTTTCCAACGCTTTATCGTGTTCTATTCATACAAAACCATTACCCTTATCAAACAGATATACTAGGTTGGTTGAAAAGTTCGCGGAGCGGAAATGAAAAAACAATTTTATGATTCAAAAAATGACTTTATTCTTCAGTATATTCTCCCTTAAGAGCAATACACTTTTTCCAACGATTCTCCAATTCATGTATCCCATCTCTGAAGTGCGATTCCGGAAGGCCTTCAAAATACCCATTTACGGCTGCAATGACTTCTTCATGTGATGAGAAACGCTTTCCACGTAGAAATTTTTTGAGATGTGGAAAGAGGTGGAAGTCGGACGGAGCCAGATCTGGTGAATAGGGTGGATGTTCCAAGTGTTCGTACTTTAATTCGACCAATTTCGCCTTTGCAACATCGCTGATATGAGCAGGTGCGTTGTCCTGGTGATAAATGATTTTTTTATGCAGAAAACCAGGTCTTTTCTCACGAATTTTTTTATCCAACTGGTCCAAAAGATTTTTATAATATTCACCTGTTATCGTTTTACCGGTTTGAAGGTAATCTATTAATAAAATTCCTTTCGCATCCCAAAAAACTGATGCCATAACCTTCTTTGACGATTTTGACGCCTTCACTTGCTTCGGAGCTGAACAACCGGGTTCTGTCCACTCTGCAGTTTGTTGTCGCAGCTTCGGATCATAGTGGTAAACCCAAGTCTCATCCATGGTTACGAATCGACGCACAAAATCTGTTTTATTCTTTTGAAAACGGGCCAAATGTTCTTGAGAAAGTTTTACTCGAGTGCGTTTCTGATCCAGAGTTAGCGAATGCGGCACCCATCTTGCCAACAGCTTTCTCAGACGTAATTCATCGTGCAAGATGTGTAATACCCGTTCATCTGAGATGCCCACAGCCTCAGCAATTTCACGTTTGGTCAATCGTCTATCATCCATAACCATGTCATGCACAGCATTAATCGTTTCTTCAGTAGTAGCACTTTTTGGACGTCCAGAGCGAGGGTCATCTTCAAGGCTTGAACGCCCACGTTGAAACTCCGCAGCCCATTTGCATACTGTTGTTTTTGAAGAAGCATCATCACCCAACACATTTACCATTTTATTATGAATTTCCATGGGCTTTAAACCTTTTTTCACAAAGAATTTTATTACAGCACGATGTTCAATATTTTCCATTTTAAAAAATACTATGACACGTCTAATTTCAATAGCTTGTAAACAAAGACTGAAATGACATATCGACTTGAAATTTTTTATGCGTTCATACGAAGAATGAATACGTTTAATACAGTTATAAATTTGTTTCTACTACTGCAACATAGGTGCCGCTCCGCGAACTTTTCAACCAACCTAGTATATATGTAAATAATTTTGTTTTTCTTAATTTCCATGAGAGCTTTTTTTTGTTCTCTTGTTAAATTTTGATTTATTTTTTTACCCATTTTAAGTTCTTTTAAAACATTTGTTTTTGTGCACCCTTAATCTTGTTGCTATATTCCAATTTCAAAGCTGAGATCTCTGTTGTTGCAATAATATCCATATAAGGTATATATTTCAACGAAGGTACAAAATGTGGACCAAGATTAAAAAGATCATTTTGGTTTTTTGGAATATCGTCATCGCATAAGTTTAAAATAGCATTCTTCGTATGGGTTATTAACTTACAGATTTTATTACTGTGATTATTTTCAAATTCGTTTTGAAGAATTTTAAACTTTTTAAATAATCTCTCTTTCGATTTCAGAAACATTATTTTGCGAGCTTTTTCAGTAACTTGTTCAACTTTTTTGTAGTCTATTTCATCAAGAATAACTTTAAGATCTTTCTGGAGATTTTTAGTTTCATTAACAAGCATAAAAAACCGTCTTTTAGCATCATTTTTAATACAAATCAAAATTTCAAATCTATGTTGAATAACAATACTTACTGCTCTCTTTGTATTTACAGAACTGTTAATTCCTAATGATTTCGGAATAAGTTTGCGTTTTTCACAATTTTTTAAAAATACATACTGGTTTTTAGACTTAGCTACCGACTTCTTCAATAACTGTAACTGTTCAATTTGTTTGTAAACATCAGCTCCGAATTAGGCTGTAATATATATCTTTAGTGTTGCTATCGTGTATATGTTATATTAGTCAGAAAACATCAATTAATATGAATTCTCTTAATACAATTATTAATTTATTATTAGAAATTTTTGCTGGATTATGGTTACCACCATCATCAGCTCGTAAAAATTATACAATAAAACTTTTTTGTAACGTTAGAAACAGTTTAAAATTAAATGACATCAGCAGTTGAATTACTTCTTTCTTGCTTATGTAAAAATGTAAAAAACAGAGTCCAAAATTTAGTTTTCACAAACTGCCCATTATCTAAATTAATTCCGCCATGTAAAGGTGAACATTGGAACATATTTATTTCTAGAGCTTTGCGCACTTTTCTATCAAATATTTTTTTTCAAGTTTAATTGTTTTTACGCCTTCCCACTTTATTTCTTGTGTGCAAAACTTATTATGGGTGGCTTTTGCAGATTGATAATGTTTCTCCTCGTTTAAACTTTTTAGATGTTGTTGAGTTCTAGTCTAGTTGTTGAGTTCTAGTTCTAGTCCTAATTTGAAGTTTAGTTTTGCCTATGTATCTCTTTGAGCATTTGCATTCAATCAAATAAGTTCCGGGTTGACTATTTTGTGGTAATTTATTCTTGTTTTTTGACGATAGTAATGTTATTAAATCTGGATTTTATTTGAAGACTACTCTATA